CTATTTTAATATTCATCAGTAGAACTACTGCTTTGTTGTATTATATCTACTAGATTTTTATTGTATGTGTATAGTATAGAATGCATTATTTGATCTCTTAAAAGGTAGTTTTGAATGCCTTTGTCTCATAGAAAGAAACCTGTGATGAAATAAACTCGATTTGATTGTACTCTAAATCTTTTAAGTAAGTCTTCTCTATTTGCTGTTTAATTTTAATGCAATAAAACTCTAATTTTGATAGTTTGATTCACTTCAAGGATTCATTCTGAATGTGGGAGATGGTACTAGAATAAGTTAATTTAAAGAAAAGGGAAAGATTTTAAGGTTCATTAAATTCATCTGTTCTTTAACATTCCCTTCTATTGCTTGTCTCCTTCTATAATTGTCAATCTTAAAATACTGTCATATTGTAGAGGAATTTTTATTAAATAAAGGCATAAAGGCAGCTCCTACCCTAAGCCATGTTAAATTTTATCAGTGCATTTCAGGTCAGTGTGTTATTGTCAGAGTGAAAAGTGGGAGATGTAATTAATGATACAAAGGAAATTTAAATTTGTTTTGGACTTTTCAACATTTCTGCTTATGGTTGTACCTGATTCTCTTCCAGTTTGTCTGTACTTAGCTTTATTTCTAATTGAAACTATCTGAAGTTAAGTATTTGGCTATCTATGAAAGTTCTTTTTATTAAAGGAGAGGTGTTCTTGTTCCTGTATATGAAAGTATTATGTGTACTATATAATTGAATATTAACAGTAAAAATTTGAATTTTTAATCAGGCACCTCAAAACTCACAATTTTTTATTTCTATTTTTATGAACTTTTAATACAGAAGAATGTATAATGTAAATTATTTATTTTAAAATTTATTGTGATTTGATATTGACTACATTTAAAATTTTTGCATATCCCAATGTCTGTGAGAATGATTCAATAAAATAACAAAAATTTGTGTTTAGGCAATGCATTTGGTTTACTCCTTTTTATTAACAGAGCCTTGTGAAGGAGGATTAGTGTTTTTAACAATGTTRCTGTGCACTAGTTTAGCACCTATGTGTGTAAACAGTGTGGCAGTTTTTATGCTTCTGCCAGAGAACAACTTAATGTGCAAAACAATTGTTTTATTTACCTGTACAGAGTAGTAGTGTCAAGATGTGGATGGAAGAGCTTCTTTATGCTTTTTTCCCTATTAATAGTTAGTTATTTGAGTAAATATTTAAATTTTTCCATTCATAACTTTGCCCACTACGTGACCTTGAAAAACCACTTGTTTCTATATAACTTCCACATCAAAATTAGAAGGACTGCCCTCCATTTCCTGTCTTATGATGTTATTTAAAGTATTAAATGAGAGTACATGTCAAAACTATTTTTTAAAAAATTATAGTATCCCACAGTTTTCAGCCAATAGTTATTTAGGATTCAATATGATGAGGTATAGAGCTCTTAATGAATAAATGTTCATAATAATCTGTTATAAACAGAATATGAATAATACATGCTGTTTCACCCCTCCACATAGAGGACAGAGTGATGGCTAACGCTAGGCATTAGTGCATAGATGAATGAGATATTATATTCGTCATTCAAAGAATTTATATTTGGACTAATATTCCCAAACCTTATATATTTGTCTAAATGTTCAGAGTAGATAAACTATATTTCTTTTTTTAATATTTTATTTTTTAGTTGTAGATGGACACAATATTTTGTTTTTATATGCTGCTGAGGATCAAACCCAGGGCCCCGCATATGCTAGGCAAGCGATCTACCGCTGAGCCACAACCCCAACCCGGCATCAGTACTTTCTATGATGTAAAGATAATTTATTTCAAAGTACCAGATAATTGTAATTATTAATGCAAAAATATTTCAATTCTTTTAGATATTACTTATTCATTAACAAATATTTATTGACTGCCTATTATGTGTCAGGCACTCTTTCCATTTGAGATAATTCAGTGAACAAAGATGATTCCAGATCTTGTGGGACTTTTATTCCAATGGGAATGATAACCAACTATGAATGTAATAAATTATATATGTTAAAAGGTAATTCCTAATGGGAAGATAGGGAATGGTAAGAGGGATTAGTGTTATAGATAGGTGATCATATTGCAATTTTAAATAAGGTTGACAATAATAAGAAAGATCTCACAGAGAAGGTGACAAAGATTTGAAGGAATTAAAAAAATTGGCCATACAGATATTTGGAGAAAGAATATCCCAAACAAAGGGAAGGGTTAAGAGGTGTCTATTCTGTTTAAGGATCATCAAGGAAACCCTTCGAAGTGGTGTAAATGAGAGAGGACTATAGTAGAAACAGATGGCATTCAAGAGGAAAAAAAATAAACTAGATAATGGAAGGTGTGGGAAGGGTATTCTAAGGATTTTGGTTTTTACTCAGAGCAAGCTAGTCTTTGCAGGACTTCAAAAAAAAAAAAAAATGTATGGCTAGAAGCCTGGCTGCCACTATTCTGACAGCTTGGGAACCTCAGCTTTGTAAACCTCAGAGAACAGGAATTTGAGAGTCTTAAAAGCTTTTATGCAAACTAGAAAATAGTCATTTTGTATTCACACTCTAGTCTTCAGGGACATGAAACATGAACACTCTGGTCTTTGGAGAGACATATGTCCTGATGCTTCTGAGAGTTCTGGGTACAAATCAGCTTGCTGCTTGTTATGAATTCTCTTTTAACCTTATATTTCAGCCTTCTCTGATCTGTCAGTTTCTACAACTTATCTTTCCAAGTTCATTGTTGTCCCCAACCCCACTTCCATTTTTTCTTTCTTTGGATACTAGGGATTGAACCTAGGGGCGCTTAACCACTAAGCTGAATCCCCAGCTCTTTTTATTTTTTATTTTGAAACGGAGTCTTGCTAAATTGCTGAGGCTACCCTTGAACTTGGTAATCAGCCTCCCTAGTCAGTGGGATTATAGGCAAGTRCCACCATCCCAGCTTTTTTTCTTCTTTTGTCCTCCCTTGTCATTTTATTGAGAGCAGAGAAAAACATACATTTTATAGTCACCAGTTCAACCAGAGGACTGGTAATATAAAAATTATTATATTTTCCAGTGTGTTTAGAAAAACCTGAAGTGCTTAACACTGACACTTTACCCTATAATTTATCTTGTCAAGAATAATAATACAGTAATAATGTTGCTTTGATGAAACACCCAATCAGGCCCTCAAAAATTTTATTTTTAACTGGGGGTATAGCTCAGTGGTAGAACGCTTGCCTAAGCAAGTTTCTGAGATTTAATCCCTAACATCACAGAACACAAATGAAACAACTCAAAATTTTAAACTTAAAATATGTCCATTCATGACAGTAAGAAAGGATTAATCATTTTCACTGTTTAAATATATAAATTGTATAATTACAGTATCTGTCTCACTATATAAAGCCCACACTTAGAGTCATTGTCCTGGAAGAGTTTAGATTTAAGAGCCCCTTTCAGTAAATGGATTTAGATTAGTTATTGTGCTTGAGGATTTGAGAATAGAATGAGTTATTGAAGGATAATATATTTTGGTAGGAAAGACCTGGATTTTAGTTCCATTTTTTTACTGCTGAATTTAGGATGCATAATTAGTTTTTTCATTTGTAAAATCAGAGATTACAGGTTGGATAATGTTTAATTTTTTTAATTCACGTGATGCTTAAGTTTGGAAACTTTTTATGCTTTTCTGGTAAATATAATTATTTTCTGATTTTATTTTTTTCATGCAGATTAATGGTGCAGTGTAAGAAACGTTTAAAAGTTTCTGATGAATTAGTTCAGCAGTATCAAATGAAGAATCAGTATCTTTCAGCAATAGCATCTGATGCAGAACAAGAACCTAAAATTGATCCATATGCATTTGTTGAAGGAGATGAGGAATTCCTTTTTCCTGATAAAAAAGATAGACAAAATAGTGAGAGAGAGACTGGGAAAAAACACAAGGTAAGAGAAATCACAGTATACTGAAGGTTCACTGATGATTTTGTAGCACAACATAGAGTAGCATGCTGAGTATGTACCTTATCACTTTTCTTCTTCTTTTTATAAAAAATAATATATATATATATATATGTATATATATTTAGTTGTAGTTAGACACAATACTTTTATTTATTTATTTTTATGTGGTGCTGAGGATCGAACCTAGAGCCTCACACATGCTAGGCGAGCACTCTACTGCCGAGCCACAATCCTGGCCCCCTCACTTTTTTTCTTTTAGAAAAATTGATTGTACACACACTTTTTAAAAAAAATAAGTAAATAAGGCAGATAGTACACGTTATGGCTGATCTCTGACAAAAGATGTTTTTTGTTTACTTCTGATGTTTCTGGACTAGCTAGAGATATTAATTTTTGTCATAACTAAAATCAGGGCATTATGGTATAGACTATTTTGACACTGAGTAGGAATATGCTAAAAGTGAATTATCTGCTTTCAGTGATAAAATATATATTACTGAGTTTTTAAAAAAGTTATTTTTGAATATGTGATTCAGGAACTTACTTATAGTGTCCCCAAAAGTAAAAAACTTAACATTAATTAAATGTAGGACATAAAAATTTTTTTTGATTAAAAATTTCAGAATTAAACATTTTGGGATTAATTGAGCTTATGGTCACTCTAGTAGATTAAAAAAAAAAAAGTTGCCTTAAATACAAAATGTGAGAATTGAAAGCTGTAAAACTGGGGAAAGGACCCAGTAATATGTGTAGTACAAATAATTAATTTCACTAGTTTTACTTAACCCTACTGTTTGCATGATACTTAAACTRTTGTTCTTTTTTATGAAATAGAACGAATGCCAAATTTACAATTTTATAGATGTAGATTAAAATTCCAGCTCCCACTATCAGCCATGATTCCTGGGGCAGACTCTTTAGATTTTTTTCTCTTTTACTCTCTTTTTATTTGAACATAAGCATACAATGTATTTGTTAACTATAAAAGTTGGTAAAAATTAGTGTTAATGTACATAGAACATTTATCAGAATACTTGACAAAAAATTGGTAGGTTTTGTTATTGGTAAATAACACATTTTAGGCTAATATGTAATACTGTTTGCAGGTAGAAGACGGAACATCTACTGTTACAGTTTTATCACATGAAGAAGATGCTATGTCATTATTTAGTCCCTCTATTAAGCAAGGTAAAACTTTTTATTTCCCTTTCAAAAATCATTGCATCCAGAGTTGTCTCTAYAGACTTACGTCTGATACTCCTGGAAGTTTTACTGTTTCTTCTTGCAAAATTTATATATTTTATAGGATATGTGGATGAATTTATTATTTATCTTTTATTGGGAGRAGCAAGTTGAGTTGACAAAAATTACCTTATGAATTGTTAGAACACCCCCACACACACACTTTTTATCCTCTCTTTTAAATAGTTCTTACTCATGAAATTAGTAGATTGGATAAGAATGTTGCCTAAGGTTCYTCAGATATAAAAACTCAATTTTTCAATTAAACTTTTTGAAATATTTTTCGTCCACCCTTCGTAAGTGTTAAGAGTGCTATTTCCAAGGTCCTTAATTGAACAATTTATTGAATACCTGTTATGGGTGCTAGGCATTGGGGATAAAGTAATCAAGATTCCACTTCAAAATTATCTGGCTTATACTCCTTGTGAATGGAATAGAGACACATAGAGACACAGTGTAACAAGTTTGTTTAAAAAAAATTATTTATCTTTAAACAATATTTTAAATTAGTAAGTAAAAAGTAAATATTTATGATATACACACACATACATATTGTGGAATTGCTAAATCAAACTTAAAACACATGCAATTTAATATACATCACCTCACATAAGTACTACTGTTCTGTGATGAGAACACTTAAYGTGTGTGTGTGTGTCTGTGTGTGTTTGTGTSTATGTATGTATCCATATACATGTATCTGTCAATTTTTTTTTCCCTTCAGTACTGGGGATTGAACCCAGGGTGCTTACCACTGAGCCATATCCCAGCCCCTTTTTATTTTTTTATTTTTTGACAGGGCCTCAAAGGTACTGAGACTGGTCTTAAACTTATGATCCTCCTGCTTCAGCCTTCTGAGTGGGTGGGATTATAGTTCACCTGACTTAAAATGTACTTTCTTAGTAAGTGTCAGGTATAATATTAACTTTAGTCAGAATTCACTTAACTGTTTTTTTTTTTTTTTTTACTTTTTTCCCCTCCACATTTTGTTATTGGTGCATTATAGTTGTATATACTGATATGATTTGTTTTTACATATTAGTACATCCACATTTGACCAATAGCCCTCCCATTACTTTTTTTATATATATTTTTTAAATTGTTGATAGATCTTTATCTATCTGTCTGTCTGTCTATCAATCAATCTATCTATCTATCTATCTATCTAAGGTGCTGAGAATCGAACCCAGTGCCTCACACATGCCAGGCAAGTGCACTATTGCTGAGCCACAACCCCAGCCCCAATTACTTGACTTTTGATAGGGGCAAAGGAAGATATTTTCCGGCATGTGCTTTTTGAAACAAAATATTTGGAATAAGTAGGATCAGTTTCTATGTTACAAGAAATAAGAATAAGAAGAAAGTCTATGTGTGCAAGGAGCAGATGGTCTTTTTATGAAGTAAATTTAGTGGTTGATGATTTTAAGTAACTTGGTGAGTTAACAATTTGGGTTCTTTGCCATCTAAAGATTTAGTGCCATCCCTATCAAAATTTCAGTGTCGATTTTCACAGAAGTAGAAGAAACAATCCTAAAATTTGAATGGAACCACAACATAACCTGAATAGGCAAGGCAATCTTGAGCAAAAAGATCAAAGCCAGTGGTATCACACTACCTGATTTGAAAATCAATGACAAAGCTATAGTAATTAAAACAGCAAATATAGGCATTTTAAAAAGGTACCTAGATCAGCAGAAGTGAATAATAAGTTTTGAAATAAATCCAACTGATTCATAGATGCCTCAGATACATAATGGGAAAGTCTCTTCAGTAAGTACTGGGAAAACTGGATATCCTCCTGCAGAAGAATGAAATTAGGATCTTATGTTATATATAAAAGTCAACTCAAAATGGATTAAAGACTTAAACCTAAGACCTGATATTGTAAAACTACTAGAAAAAAACATGAGGGAAAACTCCATGAGATTAGTTTTGGCAAAGATTTTTTTTTTTTTTTTTTTTTGGATCTGATTCCAGAAGTACAGGCAACAAAAGCAAAAATAGGCAAATGAGATTACATCAGACTAAAAAGCTTCTGTATGATGATTCAAACAGTCAACAGACTGAGGAGATAATTCTGAGGAAACACTATATTTGCAAATCATACCCAATATATAAAGGAACTCAATAGAAAGAAAATGTCTTGATTTAAAAATGGGAAAAGGACATTTCTCAAATGAATTTATACAAAATACAATAGATTTATGAAAAATATTCTACTTGACTGATTATTGGGGAAATGCAAATTAAAAACATAATAAGATATCACCTTTTACCTGTTATAATGGGTGTTATCAAAAAGATAGAAGATAGCAAGTTTGGCAAGGACATGGAGTAAAGGGACCACTTGTACACTATTTGTGGAAATGTAAATTTTTAGAGCTGTATTTAATAAGTATGAAGTATGGAATTTTCTTCATAGAACTGCCTTATGATACATCAGTCCCACTCTTCAGCATATATTCAGAGGGTAGGAAGCCAGTGTGTTGATACTGATACCTGCATGCTTTTATTTGTTGTGGCATTACGCACAATAGGCAAGATATGGAATAATTCTTAGTGTCCATCAACAGGTGTATGCATGAASATTAAAAAAGAAAAATTATGTTACTTGTGACAACATGTATGAAACTAGAGGACATTATATTTGATGAAATAAGCCAGGCACAGAAAGATAAATACTGCATGATCTCACTTATAGGTGGAATCTAAAGTACAACTCATAAAAATCAGTGAACATGTATAAGGCTTAGGGTTCAATCTCTAGGGCCACAAAATGAAGTCAGAGTTAAATGGAAGTTAACAGAGCCTGGGGAATAGAGGTTGGCCAAGGGGTATAACATTTCAGTTAGGAGAAATAAATACAAGAGATCTGTTATATCATGGTGTCTCCAGGTAACATAACATATGTTTCTTGTATTATGATGGGAGGCATCCTAAATTAAAACCATTATAAGTTGAAATATTTTAAGTCAAAACTGTACTATTTTACCTAACCTACTTAACATCATAATTTAGCCTAGTCTACCTTATATGTGCTAAGAATACTTAGATGATTTGAGCAAAATCATCTATCAAAAACTTGTAAAGTGTTGAATATCTCCTATAAATTTTTATTACCTGTGTCCAATAAACAGTGCCCATGAAGAATCAGTTGTTTACCTTCATGATCATGTGGCTGACTGGGAACTGCTGCCTCTTCTCAGTATTTTAAGAGTTATCATGATACATACTGTCATTCCAGGAAAAGATCAGATTCAGAGTTTGAAGTACCATTCCTACTGAATGCAAATGGCTTTTGCACCAACATAAAACTGAAAAATCATAAGCTGAACCRTTGTAAACTGGTAAAAGTCTTGTTGTGTATTTGAAAATTGCCGAGAGTAGATTTTAAGTGTCCATACTACAAAAAAAAAAAGTGAGATAATGCATATATTAAATACTTTGATTTAACCATTAACACACACATATATGAAAAATAAGTTCTTTGGTTCCCCTCACCCCTAAAGTATTCTCTAGGATACAGAAATTCTGAATCCCCTGTGCCTGTGATGTATATTTCTCAAAATGTGAACTATGTACCCCATTGTAGAGTATCTCAGGTGGGGCCTTATAATCTTGGGTTTGTTTGTTTGTTTTTAAATTTTCTAACAGATACGACATTTTTTTATGCCTTTATTTTATTTATTTATTTTTATGTGGTGCTGAGGATTGAACCCAGTGCCTCGCACATGGTAGGCAAGCCCCAGCCCCTGTAATCTTGGTTTTTAATAAGTACCCTAAGATGATTTTTACATAGTCTGAAATTACTGCTATGGTGAATATTTAGAACTGACACAATGAGGCACTGGGAAAGCAACTTATTTTTCTGAAATTGAAGGCTATCTCAAGTTAATTGACATACAGATGATTTGGAAGGTTATATATTATTACTATAAGTTGTTTTTCTTATGTGGTAATATAAGGGGAATTTAATTTTTATTGCTTTTGTATACTTTTTAATCATATGTCGTCAACTCCTCCCAACTGCGGGTGGGGAGCACTGAAACCTAGCTTATCTAAGAACTAATATTTATTGAGTATTTTAAGTGCCTATTTCTGGACAAAGCAGTGTACTTTTATTCTACCACATTAAATTCTGGGCTACATGAAGGCACAGAGAGATTGTCAGTATACCAAGAAACATTGTTGGTGGAAGAGCTGGGGTTTGATTTAATAATCTGTCTGACTTAAGAACCAGAATTCATAATTATTGTACTATGCTTCTTTTACATGTCAGGAAGTTGGAAAAATTAAAAATCTGTATGTGCTTTTTAAAAAAATTAATATTTAATAATTGTACATATCTGAGGGATACAGTGTATTTTAATACACATGATACACATATACCATATGAATTAGTCAAATCAGGGTAATTAGTGGGGTTTTTTGTTGTTGTTGTTGTTAAATAGTTGTAGACAGACACTATATCTTTATTTTTATGTGGTGCTGAGGCTCAAACCCAGTACCTCACATGTGCTAGGGAAGCGCATTACCACTGAGTCTCGAATCCAGCCCAGTTAATGTTTTCTTTTTGTTATTATTTCATTATGTTTGGAACCTTCAAGCTCCTCTTTTCTACTTCTTCATAAAATATATACTAGGTTTTTCCTTCTATCTAACTCTGTTTTGGTACCCTTCATCTGTCCTCCCTCTAGCTCCTTTCTCACATCTAGTAATCACTCACAAACACAGTAAAAGAACACAACGTGAGATCTGTCCTCCTAGAATCTAGTGTTGAATTGTTATATCTCTAGGTATTGTGTTGTATAATGGATATGTAGAACTTATTAATCTTTTTTTTTTTTTTTTACTTTTTTGAAAAATTGGTCCTAAAGGGAGCTCTTTCTTTTATTTTGTTATAAACTAATTGGTGAAGCTTACTAATTTTGCTTAACTAACTTCCTTCATTCCTCCATTCCATGCTGGAGATTTAATCCTGAATCTTGCATATACTATGCAAGTACTCTGCCACTTATCTCCATCCCCAGCTGTTCTTATTTTCATTTTGAGACAGGTTCTAGCTAAGTTACCTAGGCTGGCTGTGAACTTATGATCTTCCTGCCTCACCCTTCAAAGTAGTGGAGATTACTGCATTTGCCACCATGACCAGTATAACTAACTTTATATCCAGTGAACAACTGCCCATTTTAACAGCATCTCTATTGAAATAAATTTACATAGAATAAAATTTATTCATTTCAAATTGAAAAAAGTATGCTTAATTCTGTTGTCCTGTAGGATTTTATTATTTTTATTATTCGTTTAGAATACTTACATAGATTACATAGCCTTTAGTGCTTCCTGGGGAAGATTTCCACCATTCATTTACAACTTCATGAAAAATGTTTTTTAAATTTTAAATAAGAACTTAGAATTCTTTGTTGTATAGTCTTCTTACAAATTTAATATCTTGTTTAAGTAAATGGAATAATACTTGGTTGTAGTTGAATTTTTTATGTTTCTGATTGAAACGTGTAGATGCTCCACGCCCTACTAGTCATGCACGTCCTCCATCAACCAGTTTGATATATGACTCAGATCTGGCTGTCTCTTATACCGACCTTGATAATCTCTTCAATTCTGATGAAGATGAATTGACAGTGAGTATCCTATTAATTGTTTAGAATTAAGCTTGTTTTCTTGGGTTTTATATAAGTTCTTTGGAAGTGATTTGTTGCTTGAATACTGTTTTAGGTCAAAACAGTAGGAGATATTTTATAATAAAATATCTTTTTTCATTTTAATCTCATGTTTGAATCATCTTGACATAGTTTTATAAACTTTGAGGTGACTTTTTACTGTTTTGTTATGATGTTTGAAGGATATACAGTGAAATTTGATATAAGTTGTGCTGTGTGTTCTTTTTCTCCAGTCCTTAGGAAGAAGAATAATTTTCCTATTGTTTGATCTCTAGTTTATGAAATAACTCTGAAATTGACTTATGTAGAGAATATATAAATAATTAGCAATAAAAGTTATGCCTTATCACTTTATTAAGGAAAATCACTTTCGAATTTTTTTGGCACCACTCTATTATAAGACAGATACATAGCATAACAATGAGAGGAAGACAAAATTAATATTTAATCCTTTTAACACCTATGTGCAGAGGAAGATGAAGTTAAAAGAAATTAAAGCTTAAAATGAGATTTTCTAGAATGTCAAACCTCTTGGAAATTAATGAATTGGGTGCTGCATTCAGAAAAAGGAATCATTTTGCCTCTGCATAAATAAAAGTATCTTGGAAACTATGGCACATTTAGTTTTTCTTTTCTTACGTAACATGTTATTAATTACAATATATGCTGTTCATCCTAGCTGTGTGTAATATAGGTTTTTGTTTTGGGGGTATCAGGGATTGAACTCAGGAACTTGATTACTAAGCTACATCCTTAGCCTTATTTTGTATTTTATTTAGAGACAGGGTCTCACTGAGTTGCTTAGCACCTCAGTTTTGCTGAGGCTGACTTTGAACTCATGATCCTCCTGCCTCAGCCTCCTGAGCCACTGGTATTGTGGGCATGCACCACCGTGCCCAGCTAATATAGGTTTATTTATAGCTATGCTTTTATGTATAAAAGGCAGATATAGCTATTCACGAACTSTTAAATCTGTATCTAATAAAGTAGTATATGTCAGGACACTGTTCACTAGATGACTATATCCTGGAATACCTTGGTACATTTTTTTGCTGTGACTCCTCTGACATAAAGAAATTGTACTCAGAGCTCAGTCTACATATGTATCACAAAGTGTCTAATAGGAGACAATGGAACACATGTCAACTCTAAGAACATTGGTGTTATACTGAGGATGCTTTGTTCAGCATATTAAAACTTATTTCCTGGCTGGACATGGTGGCACATGCCTGTGATCCCATGCACTAGGGAGACTGAGGCAGGAGGATCATAAGTTCAAGGCCAGCCTTGGCAATTTAGTTAATTGGGAGGCTTATGAAATAACTGTTGTGTCCTTAAACTATATCTAGTATGTATTTGGCTCTGTCACAGATTCAAAATACTACTTTTGATGAATGGGCTTTACTTTTTAAGTTGAATCTGAATATTTACTACTTTGAAATCACATTGGGTTTCAGATAAATATGTGCTTTTTTTAATAGCCTGGATCTAAAAAGTCATCGAATGGATCAGATGATAAAGCCAGCTGCAAAGAATCAAAGACAGGAAATCTGGATCCATTATCTTGCATAAGTAAGCTTCCCAATTCTGTGCTCCAGATAGACTTGCAAACTTGTAATCTCAGTAAAGTTTTCTGTTCCCTTTATTTTATACATAGATTCACCTCTTTTTAGTCTTATGGTAAAATGTGTGTTTTATTAAATATAGGCACTGCAGATCTTCATAAGATGTATCCTACACCACCATCTTTGGAACAGCATATTATGGGATTTTCCCCAATGAATATGAATAATAAAGAATATGGTAGTATGGATACAACACCTGGAGGAACTGTCCTAGAAGGAAATAGTTCTAGTATAGGAGCACAGTTCAAAATTGAGGTTGATGAAGGATTCTGTAGCCCCAAACCTTCTGAAATTAAAGTAAGTATTTTATTTTTCTAGAAAAAATAATTCACTTCCTATGTTTTCTTTCTTTTTATGTGGTGCTGAGGATTGAACCCAGTGCCTCACACATGCTAGGCGAATGCTGTACCTCTGAGCCCCAACCCAAGCCTCCCTATATTTTCTTATGGAATTTCTTGTTACTATATTAAAAAATCCTTTCATAGTGATCCTAGTTTTGTAGCTAACAGATCTGAGGACTAATATGTGGTGACAGTATTAAGAATGCATTTTAGAATATAACTGATATTTACATTTTCTTTTGTTTAAAGAATAGGAAAAAAGGAAAGATTGTGGGGGGGTACTTTTTTGGGGGTTGTTGTTTTGTTTTGGTTTTTGGTTCTTGGAAGATAAGATCTTTAAAAATCCGTGACCTTTATATTATAGGATTTTTCTTATGTCTATAAGCCTGAAAATTGTCAAGTTCTAGTGGGATGTTCCATGTTTGCACCTCTAAAAACTCTACCAAGCCAATGTCTACCCCCTATCAAATTGCCAGAAGAATGTATTTACCGCCAGAGCTGGACTGTTGGAAAATTGGAATTGCTTTCTTCAGGGCCTGCAATGCCATTCATCAAAGAAGGGTATGACTTATGTTCTTATCATATTATATGAATGCTTATAGGTTTAATTGTGTGTGTGTGGAAGCATTTAGTATTATGGCAAAACAATATTGGTTTTTAAAAGTTCTAGAAATTGTGTGTGTGTGTGTGTGTGTGTGGAAGCATTTGGTATTATGGCAAAACAATATTGGTTTTTAAAAGTTCTAGAAATTGTTTTCTGGTTGATTATACTGGTAATAGGTGAGGATAAACTGTTTGAAAACATAAGACCATTGTACTTTATTTGATTTCAAAAGCATCTTTTCTTTTGACCTATAATTCAAAATCATTCTCATTTTTGCATTTGCCATATTTCCCACATTTTCTACATCAGTGTTTCTGAATTTGGAGTGTGTTGTAATTGGTAGCCTAATAAAATCATATTGTCCTTTTTACACATGAACATCTCTGAAATCAGGAATTATTATTCTTAGAGGCATCATAATATGAATGAAATATAAGAAACTTCTAGATAGTAAATGTGAGTCTCTAGGTATGGATAAGTTATTAAATAAGAATTTTATTCTTAATTTTGAAATTAGTTAATTGGTCCTTAGTCCACAACAGTCACCAGTGGACATATTAATCAGAAATAAGTCCTAATTATACTTGAGATTTTTGCACTGATTGTTCTATCACAGTTTTCAGTGTTACTTGAAAACATTTGAGATATTTTTATTTGTATTTCACATCACAAAAGTGTTGCTTTATTTATATATTTGATTATCTCTTTTTCCCCGGTGACAGTAGTGATGGAAGTAATATGGATCAAGAATATGGCCCTGCTTATACACCACAAACCCATACTTCTTTTGGGATGCCTCCTAGCAGTGCACCTCCTAGTAACAGCGGAGCAGGAATTCTTCCTTCTCCATCCACTCCTAGGTTTCCGACTCCAAGGACTCCAAGGACTCCAAGGACTCCTCGTGGAGCTGGTGGACCTGCTAGCGCTCAAGGTTCAGTCAAATATGAAAATTCAGACTTGTATTCACCAGCTTCCACCCCATCCACATGCAGACCCCTTAATTCTGTTGAACCTGCAACTGTTCCTTCCATCCCTGAAGCACACAGTCTTTATGTAAACCTCATCCTTTCAGAATCAGTTATGAATTTGTTTAAAGACTGTAACTTTGATAGTTGCTGTATATGTGTCTGCAACATGAATATCAAGGGTGCCGATGTTGGAGTTTACATTCCAGATCCAACGCAGGAAGCACAATATAGGTGTGCCTGCGGCTTTAGTGCTGTCATGAACAGAAAATTTGGAAACAATTCAGGATTATTTCTTGAAGATGAATTAGATATCATAGGACGCAACACAGACTGTGGCAAAGAAGCAGAAAAACGTTTTGAAGCTCTCAGGGCCACCTCCACTGAACATGTTAATGGAGGTCTAAAGGAATCTGAAAAGTTTCCTGATGAGTTGATATTATTGCTACAAGATCAGTGCACTAATTTATTTTCACCCTTTGGAGCGGCAGACCAAGATCCTTTTCCCAAAATTGGTGTGATTAGCAATTGGGTGCGAGTTGAAGAACGGGACTGTTGCAATGACTGCTACCTTGCATTGGAACATGGGCGTCAATTTATGGATAATATGTCAGGAGGAAAAGTTGATGAAGCACTTGTGAAAAGTTCATGCTTACACCCCTGGTCCAAACGAAATGGTATGTATACTAATGAAACGTACGCTTGTTTTTGTTAGTTGTATGACTTTTCTTAGGAAAAAGCATTAAAGGCAACTTCTCATGAAGCTAATTGAGACTCTTAAATTTGGACTTTAAACTTTGGGGTTTGGGTGGTATCGGATTGAACTCAGGAGCACTCAACCACTGAGCCACATTCCCTGCCCTATTTTGTATTATTTTTAGAGACAGAGTCTCACTGAGTGGCTTAAGCACCTCAACTTTTGCTGAGGTTGGCTTTGAACTATATCTTTCTGTCTCAGCCTCCTTAGGTGCTGGGTTTACAAGCGTGCGCCACTGTGCCTGGCAACTTTAAGCTATTTTAAGGATGATATTTTTAAAGGGAGATTTCTTAGCTATATTGTTTAATTTATAATCTGTAAGTATATGCTTATGTTGGAATATAAAAGTTACTTTGCACATGTTAATTAGTAGAAAACTGCTGGTTGTCTATTTTTTCAACAGTCTTTCTCATTATATATTTATTAAGCACCTTCTGTGTGCCCAGTACTGTTCTACAATCACTATTGAACAGAGCAAGCATAGTCCCTGCTTTTTTTGAGCTCATAATTTAGTGGAAGGGGCAGATATTACACAGAAAATTAAGGAATTACATAATATATCAGATAATGACAAGTACTTCGAAGAAAAACAAAGCAGGGCAAAAAGTAGAAAAAAAGTGTGTGCTATTTTATATGTATGGTCAAAGAAGATATTATTGAGGGCTAGCATTTAGTCAAAATCCTACATAAAGTGGGAGAATGTATGGTATGTAACTGATGGAGGACTATTGCAGGCAATGCTAAATGCAAAGACTTTGAAGATTTTTGTGTTCTTGTTGATATTGTTTGAGGAACATGAAGGAAGCTAATGTTGTGGAATCCATTGGGTAGTGGACATACTGGTATGAGATGAAGCATCTGAGCCCCCAAATCATATTGGGTTTAATAGACCCAGGTGCCTTTGTAGTTCATTCTAAATGTGATGGGAAGTTATTGAACAGTATTGAACAGGGAAAGTAACATGATCCAATTTTTGTTTATTTTTTTACAAGATCACTAGCTATTGTCTGGAAAATAGCTTGAGGGTTAGAGGTGGTAAAGGTGAGAGTAAGAGCAGATAGATTAATTGGAAGGCAGTTGCTGTATTTGAGGTAAAAACTGATGACAGCGTGGACAAAATTGGAATAGAGGTGGAAGTAATAGATTCCAGTTATATTTGGGAAGTAGAACCTACAAGAGTTTCTGATACATGAAGGAATAATTGAGGCATCAGGGATAGTTTGAGGAATTGGATGAATGGTGGTGCTGACTACGGAGAAGGGAAGCGCCCAAGTACACATTTGGAAATGGGAGTCTTAAATTCAAACTAGCGATTGGGACTAGAGACTGAACATTTTTTGTATTGAGTTATCAGTATTAAAAGCTACAGAGGGCTGGGGCTGTAGCTCAGTGGTAGAGCACCTGCCTCGCACGTATGAGCCACTGGGTTCGATCCTCAGCACCACATAAAAATAAAAGATTGTGTCCAACTACAACTAAAAATACATTAAAAAAAAAAAAGCTATAGACAGCTGGGCTTTGCGGCACGCCTGTAATCCCACCAAATTTGGGAGGTTAAGGAGAAGGATCGTAAGTTCGGGGCAGCCTTGGTGACTTAGTGAGACCCTGTCTCAAAAGGACTGGGGGCGTAGCTTGGTGGTGTTACAGTGTCCCTGGGTTCAATCCTTCATGCCAAAAAAAAAAAAAGGAGAGAGAGCTGGATGAAGTAACCTAGTGAGTAACTAAATAGAACAGTCCAAGGATGAAGCTGCCATTTAGATGTAGGGAAGAAGAGGATCCAGGTAAGGAAACTGAGAAAGGTTGGAAGAAAAGCCAAGAGAGTATGGTGTCCTAGAAATGAAGTATGAAAAATATTTGGAGAGGAGAGGGAGGAACTAATACATCAAGGTGACAACTTTGACAGGACATTCAGTGTGATGGAATGCAGGGTTGGTAATGACCTTGACAAGCAGTTTCATTCAATCTGATTAGAGTGGATTTATGAGGGAATGAGATGAGAAGTGAATTTAAATTGGGGGGACTTCTGTCATACATAGCAGAGAAATTAGATGGTGGGGATAAAAGAGAGTTTCAGTTCTTTTAAATCTACTCTTTGGCAGGTGTGGTGGCTCACACCTGTAATCTCAGCAGCTGGGGAGGCTGAGACAGGAGGATCAAAGCCAGCCTCAGCAACAGTGAAGTGCTAAGCAACTTAGTGAGACTCTCTCTCTAAATAAAATATAAAATAGGGCGGGGGGGATGTGGCTCCATGATTGAGTGCCCCAGAGTTTAATCCCTGGTTAGCTTTCCATGCCAAAAAGTCTATTCTTTGACCAATTTTGAAATTTAGACTACATTCTTAGTAACTGTGTTCATATCATATTGTTCAATGCACACAATGAACTCAGTGATTAATGTATTTATTTCTCCTATCTAGCTAAAATTTTGTACCCTTTGACCAATATCCTTTCTCTRTCCTTACCCTCCTCCACAGAGAGGAAATATTAATGCAGAAAAGAAGATGTAATTGCAGAAGTAAAATCACTGAATAAATGAATAGTAATAAAATCCAGTGCACAAATATTCGAGGGTTAGGTAGACAGACCTTTAACTAGGAACAAAGGAAAGGCAGGAAGAAAAAGWATAATTTATTTCTTTGGATAAAAAGAGGGATTGTGAGTCAGGCATGGTGGCACACACCTGTAATCCCAGGTAGGCTGAGAAGGAGGATCAGCAAGTTCACTACCAGCCTCAGCAACTTAGTCAGACCCTGTCTGAAAATAAAAAGTTAAAAAGTAAAAAAAAAAAAAACAGGTTGACAATGTGACTCAGTGGTTGAACACCCCAAAATTTAATCCCTGGTACCAAAATAAAACCAAAAAACTAGATAAGGTAGAGTGTTTTATCTTTTTATTGAGTTTTTAAGTATTCTGTATGTATGCTGTATATGAGTCTCTTTTCAGATGAATTGTTTGCAAATATTTTCTATTTATTGGGATTGTCTTTTCATTTTCTTGATGTATCCTTTGAAGCAAAAGTTTTTAGTTTTGATAATGTCTGTTTGTTTTTCTTTTTTGCTTGTACTTTTTGGTGTCATGTCTCTTTTTGTAATCTTTTTCTTCCACTTTTTTTTAAAATTGGTGCATTATTGTTGCACATGATGGTGGGATTTGTTGTTACAATGTATATCTTTTTTTATTATTTTTGTTTTTAGCAGACACAACATCTTTATTTGTATGTGGTGCTGAGGATGGAACCCAGGCCCCACGCATGCCAGGCGAGCGTGCTACTGCTTGAGCCACATCCCCAGCCCTACAATGTATATCTTTTTGATTACTGCTTTTCTACTAGGTCTCAGATTACATACTGATTTTTATCCCTTAATACTTATAATTATATGACAAGACTTTTTCATGTCAGCCTTCTTTCCCCAAGGTTATTAGGTCTCTGAAGACATAACTCGGCAGCTAGCATAGTTCTTGGCCCATAGTAGGTTTTCTAATAAATATATGTGTTTTTTAATGAGTGTCTGTGAGCATCACATTAATTAGAATCAAAATACAAGCTGAGCTGGGCACAGTGGCACATGTCTATAATCCTCAGTGGCTCCAGAGGCTGAGGCAGGAGGATTGGGACTTCATAGCCAGCCTCAGCAATTTAGTGAGGCCCCACGCAACTCAGCAAGACTTTGTCACTAAATAAAGAAATATATAAAAGGGCTGGGAATGTGCTCAGTGGTTAAGTGCCCCTAGGTTTAATCCCYAGTTACCTAATTCCTACTGTCCCACCACCACACACACACACACACACACCCCAAAAAATTGAAGCTGGTCACAGTGGCACATATCTGCAATTTCAGCAACTTGTGAGACTCAGGTAGGAGGATCACAAGTTTGAGGTCAATCTCTGCAATTTAGTGAGACCAGCCCTCTGCAACTTAGAGAGAGACCCTGTCTCAAAATAAAAAGGGATGGGATGTGGCTCAGTGGTAAAGAGCCCAATTTTACAATCAGATTTTTATTTATTTATTTATTTTTGGTGGTGCCAGGGATCGAACCCAGGGCTTTGTACATGTGAGGCAAGCAGTTTACCAMCTGAACTATATCCCCAGCCCCCTGATTTTTATTTTTATCACTGTGTTAGTCATTAGTCTATGTCAGGTAGCTCTGTTATCATTTCTAATGACTAAATAATATTTTATRTGTTGATTTAAGCATAATTGTTACTAAGGGTTATATTTGAAATTAAATTATTTCTGTTTCTGTATAATGTTTATTAGTTATAGGAAATGAAAGCTAACGGTCATAAATTAGGCAATGGTCATAATTAAGGTATGTAATGGTATGCCTTAACAAGTTTGGTGGTACAACTGAACCACACTGGGGGCCAGATTAATTATGTCAATATCATTTAGTGGTCTTTCTTTTAGCCACTTGACATTTATGAGCAGTACCTGTCATAGCCATGCTGATAGTTGGTCAGAAATGCAAGTGAAACAATTTCAGGATCTTTAAATTTAGGGTTGTGGTTTTTTTGTTTTGTTTTGTTTTTTTGTTTTTATAGAAAAAGAAATTTTTATTTATTTGCTAGCAAACCAGAAACACAGGGGACTCCTGTCCCAAAGGCTGTGACTCTCTGGATCAGGGCTTTAAAAATTTAGGTTTTTAAATATGCGTGGATGGGCTGGAGCTGGAGCTCAGTGTCAGAGCGCTTGCTTAGCACACACGAGGCCCTGGGTTCGATCCTCAACGCCACATAAAAATAAAAATAAAAGGTATTGTGTCCAACTACAACTAAAAAATAAATATTTTTAAAAATAAAATGTGTGGATAATACATTTTCTTTTAGCATGATGAACAAGTTTATCTGTGTACAAGTTTTGTATTACAGAATTGTTTTGCTTTTCTGGTGCTGGGGATTGAACCCAGGGCTTCATGCATGCCAAGCAAATAAATGTTCTGTCACTGAGCTGTGAGTCCTCAGGCCTGTATTTCAGAACTGTTAACAGTTTCCCCTAGTTAATTCTTATAATCAGTCTCATCTGATTATTTTATCATAGTGGTTAGTAATTAAGGGACATAATTTATAAACCAYTTCAGTGTGACAGTTTTTTTCTGGTAAAATAAATGGGAAAAGAAAAATTTATAATTAATGACTTTATGGAAGTGAATTACAGAGTTAAACATTTCTTCTTAGCTGTAGTTTTCTGGAAGTACCATTCCTTTGTGTGTGTGCTTGTATGCATGCCATTCTGATATGCTTAATTCATTTTATTTGTTTTGTTTTTTGACACTTGGAATTGAACCCAGGGGTGCTTAATTCTGAGCCACATCCCTGTCCCTTTTTATTTTGAGATAGGGTCTCGTTAAGTTGCTTAGGGACTCGCTAAATTGCTAAGGCTGGCCTTGAACTTGTGATGATCCTACCTCAGCCACCTGAGTTGGTAGGATGACAGCATGTGCCACCATGCTCTGCTACGTCATGCATTTTATTTATCTATCTATCCATCTATTTATTTTATTCATTTTTGTATTACAATTCTTAATACAACATTATACCATAATTTATCTTATCTCTGATTATATATAAAGTATGTTGACACCAATGCTTCATGCATGTTAAGCAAATGTTCTCCCTCGTGCTATACCTCCAGCCCTGTAAAACCATTTCTATAGAACTTTATAGAATTCTTTATGCTAGCAGATGTTTAATATACTTGATGATGAATGGCTAAACTTCTCTAGGTGTTATTTCTTATTAAAGTTTTATTTGTGTTCAGGCAATAGCAATTCTTACTTTTTTTTTTTAACTGATTATAGATATGAGTATGCAGTGCTCACAGGATATACTTCGAATGCTCCTCTCTCTTCAGCCAGTTCTTCAGGATGCTATTCAGAAAAAAAGAACAGTAAGACCGTGGGGGGTTCAAGGTCCTCTCACTTGGCAACAGTTTCATAAAATGGCTGGCCGAGGCTCTTATGGTAAGTAATTTATAGTGGAATGCAATGATTGGTTTTATGTTAGTCCTCTGATTAATGGCCCAACTTGAATAAGCACATTATTTCCTTGAATATTTTTATGGCATAAACTCAGCTTAAGCCACTGTGGGTCCAGTTCTAGTTCTAGCCTTTACTTCAACATTTTCAACATGCAGTTTACAGGGTTCTRTAACTTAAAAGGAATAGTTTCACTTATGTCTGTTTTTTTATGTATTCCTGTTATCAATAAGATTTTATGTGAAGAAAGCGTCACACAACTAATATATTTTTAAAACCCAAAACTACTTTTGCCTTAAGCTATCATTTTACTAAACTGAGTGGGTAATGGGGGTAGGGATAATCTTAGTTATTAAAAAAAACTGAAGGTCTTCATTTTAAAATAAAATTAGAGCCAGGAGCTATGGACCATGCCTATCATCCCAGTAACTTGGAAGACTGAGACAAAGATTGTGAGTTTGGGGCCATCCTCAACCATTTAGCAAGACCCTCAGCAACTTAGCCGGACCCTTTCTCAAAAATATAAAAATAGGGGCTTGGGTTGTGGCTCAGTGGTAGAGCACTTGCTTAGCATGTGTGAGACACTGGATTTGATCCTCAACACCACATAAAAATAAGTAAAATTAAAGGTTTGTGTCAATCTAACAACTAAACTGTGTGTGTGTGTGTGTGTGTGTGTGTGTGTGTACGTGTACGTACATACATACATACATACGTACCTACGTTCGGGGCGGTGAGAGGACTGAGGACTTAACTTAGTGGTAAAGTGTCTCAGAGTTCTATCTCCAGGAAACCCCCACCCCCACAAAAAGGAAGAAAAGAAAAATTAGGACGAAGATAGGTATACAGTAGATTTATTGTCACTTGAAATGGAAAAAAACATTTAGAATATTTGAATTATTTGCTACAGAGTGTTTCTGAAAAGTAGGATAGCTTTTAAAATATATTTGGAATAATAGTTCTTATCATTGAAATTTATCTCCATTAATATGTGTATATGTGTGTGTGTGTGTATTTTTTTTTTCCCACCCTGAACCCAGGGGTACTCAACCTCTGAGCCACATCCCCAGCCCTTTTAATTTTTTAAAATTTTGAAACAGGGTCTCACGGAGTTGCTTAGGGTCTTACTACTGAGGCTGGCTTTAAACTTACAATTCTCCTGTCTCAGCCCCTGAGCAGCTGGGATTACAGGTGTCCACCGCCACGCTCAAGTAGCTAAATGATTTAAATGTCACAAAAGCTGATATTCTGTATAAGATGCAGGTTAATAGTAATGTATTTCAGCATAAACTTTTACATTCTTTTAATTCTTTTAAATTTATTTATTTATGTACCTGACTGATTTTGGAGATAATTTCTAGCAGTACATATAGAGATAACTTTCTTTTTTTTTTCTTTAATGGCTGCAAGTACTCCATTATTTTTTACATTTGGTAATGTATTTTTACCTGTGTATGGTTTAAGTATTCAGGACAGTGTTGTGGACTCCTGAACAATGATATAACTAGCAGATCTTACTGGCTATTTTCTCATGGATTTGTAGTTCCCCTTCTATGATTAGGAAATTAACATTTTGTCATATTCCTCATATGTTGTTTTCCAGTTTGTTAATCATTTGGCTTTGCTTATGGGGTGTGTGTGTGTGTGTGTGTGTGTTTGTTTTAATATTTATTTTTTAGGTGTAGATGGACACAACACAATGCCTTTATTTTTATGTGGTGCTGAGGATCAAACCCGGGTCCCGCCCATGCTAGGGAAGCGCTCTACCACTGAGCCACAATTCTAGCCTCTTATGGTGTGTTTTTATGCCAAAAATTTATATAGTCAAGTGGGGTTTTTTGTTTGTTTGTTTGTATTTGAGATACTAGATATTGAACCTTTATGACATGGTAGAGATTAATCAGTTTTTTAATGAATAGATTTCATTATTATGATTAGAAATATTTTCTCCAGCTGGGTATAATGGTGCACACCTGTAATCCCAGATATTCAGGAGGCTGAGGCAGGAGGATCATAAAGTGGAGGCCAGTCTGGGCAACRTAGCATTATCAAGTCTCAAAAAATAAAAATGTCTGCGTATATAGCTCAGTGGTATAGATAGCATCCCTGGGTTCAATCCCCAGTACCACCAAAAAAGAAAAAATACTTTACCCAGTCCAAACTTACTAAAAATACGAATAAAACTCCTTTTCATTTTTTCTGACACTTTTAAATTTTTCTATTTAAATAATGTTTTACATTTAAATTACGGTAGTCAAGTATATTTTATGAAGACCATTTAGGAAATATCTAACACTGGAATAGTACCAGTCATTTGCTTTAAGTATTTTTGTTTTTAATCAAGTAGTTTTACTGATAATTATATCATTTACTTTTGACATTTACAATAAGAAAAACATATCTTACATTTAAGTATTTTTTTTTTCTTTTTTTCTTCAAAAAATACCTCTTATTTAGGAACTGACGAATCTCCAGAACCACTGCCAATCCCCACGTTTTTGTTGGGTTATGATTATGATTTTTTGGTGCTTTCTCCATTTGCTCTCCCTTATTGGGAGAGACTTATGCTGGAACCCTATGGATCTCAAAGAGATATAGCCTATGTTGTACTATGTCCAGAAAATGAAGCTTTGTTAAATGGAGCCAAAAGCTTTTTTAGAGATCTTACTGCAATATATGAGGTAGGTGTTTTGAAAAGAGGTGGCATTTTAAGACTACCTTATGATTTATATGTTTATGTATAAAATATACTGAGAAGTTCAACTGATTGGGACAAAGTAAGGATGATGATGATCTATAATAGATTTTTAGTTCTCATATTAGCAAGTCTCTTTGGTAGGTGGGCATAACGTGGGTCACAATGGAAAAACACCACTTTGGAGGGGCAAATGTTGTGGGCATATATATCTCATTTAAAGTAATCTTTTCTTTAAAAAAAAAAAAAAAAAAACAGGATAGCCAGAAAAATAATTGCATTTACAAAAAATTCTTGTCCAAATTCTATAGGACCTCAGGTAATGAGTAACATTATTAGGCTTCAGTTTCCTGAGTTTCCTGATAATATGTAAAATAAATTTGTGCTAACTACCTCCAAAATCTACTTCAGTTTTGAAATTATTGACTGTTGTTTTACATTATAATTCTCATGCTGTATGTATCACTAGGCACAATGATTATAAATTGAATGTATTGTGAGAAAAAGCCTTTCTTCATTATACTGTCTGTAAATGCTTGGAAATTCAATTCTTATATTTTAATTTCTTTTACAATCTTAATTTGTTAGTCTGTGATGGTTTAGGTTCCTTATAAATTTTCCTTTTAATAATAAGTGTCTTTTATAAATGAACATTTCCCGAGGAGTATTATTTGGAACCTTAGTCCTGAATGAAAAACACTCCACAATGAAATAGATTTGATGAAGCACTGCATATTATATTATCTTTTAGAGATACATAATTCATAGTTATTAAAGACTTTGAAAGGTTTAAGTATGGAAACAAATTTACTTAATCCAATTGCAAATGTATTCTATATTGAACTTTTAAAACAAAAATCATGACCCCCCCCAAAAGAAGGAGAATTGGCACATTTTCTGTATGTGAATTGAGGTATATGCACAATCTAAAAAGGCTGCTTTTGTAAATTTTTGTTTTTTGAGATGGAGTCTCATTATATGTTCCCTAGGCTGGCCATGATCTCCTAGGCTCAAGCTATTCTCCTGCTTCAGCCTCCAGGTAGATGGGATTTATAGGCATGTGCCCCTTCTCCTGGTTTTTCTTTTAAAGATTGTATTTTTATGCTTACTTATTTCTGAATTCTAAAAGCTTTCATTAATCAAATCAAATGGTTCCMGTGCCAATATTATACCTTGATGTCTTTTCATTACAGTTATTTTAATTTTGAAAGAAATTTAATGACTTTTTTAGGAAAATGAAAAAGAGCTGTGGCTCAATTTTCACCTTTGATATTTTTATTTCAAATGTTAATTACAATTAATTAAGCTTATGTTAAATAACTTTTATAGTGTGTACTCAAATACTGTAATTAACTGACAATTCTGCTTTCTGTATATATTTATATACTTGTAGTCCTGTCGATTAGGTCAACATAGACCTATTTCTCGACTGTTGACGGATGGGATCATGAGAGTTGGATCTACTGCATCAAAGAAACTATCAGAAAAGTTGGTAGCAGAATGGTTTTCTCAGGCAGCTGATGGTAACAACGAAGCATTTTCTAAACTCAAGCTTTATGCACAAGTCTGCAGATATGACTTAGGTATTGAATTTGCATTTATTGTATAGGGCCAATTGCCTGATCCACCAGCTGATTTCATAAATAAAATCTTAATAGGATACAGCCATGTTCATTCATTTATATATTGTCTCTACTTCTGTGCTGCAAAATCAGAGCTGAGTAATTGTGACAGAGACTGTGGTTTACAAAGCCAGAAAAATACACCTGAGTCTTGTAAAGTTTGCTGATGTAGGGATTCCGTCAGGGGGGAGTTGTGAATTCTAAACTGTTTTTTTTTTTTTTAATTTTTTGTTGGTTCTGTAGAGTTTGATCTATCTTTCTTCCTTCCTTCCTTTCTTTTTTTAAAGGCAGGTTGGGGATCWAACCTGGAGCCTTGAAAACATTGTACCATGAGCTACATCTCCAGCCGCTGTTATAATTCTTGGTGGTTCATAGTTTAGAGATAAAACAATTTTTAGTTTATCTCTACAACACTAGGAAATAGTTCTTTGGGTTAACTATAAAGAAAGTCTTAGCAAAGAAGAAATGCACTACCAACATATTGAATCTCTTCAGGTTTCTATGATTTGAGCACCATGATAAAGTTCTTTCATTTTATATTTTAATTGGCTATCTGTGTAGACAATATTTTCACTCTGTGATTTAGGAACACTTGAAATGGTTTGAAAATTTGTAAGATACTGTTTAACATTTAATGAATTGTAGTCAGGAAAGAGAATTTTATTAGGCTTTTATTGTTATCCTTTATTTAATTTTTTAAAATGCTAGTTTAGTTTTGTTACTATTCCATTTTAGATTTGTTTCTTCAGTTTCTAGGGTAAAATAGAAAAAGCCAGTACATTCTACACTATTAGCTAGATAATCTTTTATTCATATAATAGAATTTTTTWAAAAAACCAGTTAAATAAAGTATTGAATGTCCTGTTTTTATTCTTTAGGTCCTTATCTTGCTTCTCAACCACTGGATAGCTCTCTACTTTCTCAGCCAAATTTAGTTGCCCCTACCAATCAGTCTTTGATTACTCCACCTCATGTGACGAATACTGGAACTTCTAATACTCCATCTGCCACTTTAGCATCTGCAGCAAGCAACACTATGACGATGACTTCAGGTGTTGCCATATCTACTTCAGTTGCCACAGCTAATTCAACTTTGACCACAACCTCATCTTCTTCATCCTCCAGCTTGAGTAGTGGAGTATCATCAAATAAACTCCCTTCATTTCCACCCTTTGGCAGTATGAACAGTAGTGGTACTGGATCCATGACCACACAGGCAAACACAGTTCAGAGTGGTCATCTAGGAGGGCAGCAGTCATCAGCTCTACAGACAGCTGGGATTTCTGGAGAGTCATCTTCACTTCCCACTCAACCACACCCTGATGTGTCTGAAAGGTACCTCTAAAAATATTTGTCTTGGGGGCTGGGGTTGTAGCTCAGCAGTAGAGCACACATGAGGCATTCGGTTCTATCCTCAGCACCACATAAAAATAAACAAAATAAAACTATTGTGTCCAACTAAAAGATAAATATTTAAAAAACAAAACAGATATTGCATCATCTAAAACTAAAAAGAATATTAAAAAAAAAAAACTTTGTCTCTGGAGTTAGGAGATAGCTTAGTGATAAAGTATATGCTTCTGTATGTGAGGCCCTGGGATTAATTCCCAGAACCAAAAGAATAAATAAAGATAGATAGGAGGGAATGGTGAAGCTTTACTATATAATCCCAGCTATTCAGGAGGCTGAGGCAGGAGGATTCTAAGTTCAAGGCCAGCCTTGGCCACTTAGCTAGATGCTGTCTCAAAATAAAAATAAAGTGCTCTCTGTGGCATAGTGCTCCTGGGTTCAGTCCCAAGTACTAGTACTACTAAATAAATWAATTAATTAAATTAAATAATTTTTGCAGAAATACAAAACTATGATGCCTGATTTTTTAAAAATAGACATTGCGAATGAACAATGCTTATTGCTCTTTTTGAAAGTTAGCTTTTATAATGTTGAGTATTTYATCTGTAAAATTATAATTAGGATTTTTTAATGTTGCATTAGAAATTTTTAATGAATATAATTAGGATTTTTAAGAAAGCTATTTTACTGCAAATATCTAGATATCCATACGAGGCTGGTTGTATTGGCTTACACTTATAATTCCAGCTAGTCGGGAGGCTCAGGCAGAAGAATTGCAAGTTCAAGGTTAGCCTGGGAAACTTAGCAACACCTATCTCAAAATAAAATAATAAAAATGAAAGTATTGGGGATGTAGCTTAATGTTAGAATGAGTTCCTGGGTTCACTTTTCAGTACCACAAAAAACAAAACACCAAATATACATATGATGAATCTGTCCTGTGACATGGCATCAAGTAGAAAATGCCTATGAAGGGCTGGGGATGTGGCTCGCCTGGCATGCGTGCGGCCCGGGTTCGATCCTCAACACCACATACAAACAAAGATGTTGTGTCCGCTGAAAACTAAAGAAAATAAATATTAAAAAAATTCTCTCTCTCTCTCCCTCTCTCCCTCCCTCCCTCCCACCCTTTCTCCCTCCCTCCCTCTCTCCTCTATCTTAAAAAAAAAAAAAAAAAAAAAAACTCTTAAACGAGATATCTATACACATGGTTTCCATGTCTCATTTCCTATTCAGTCTTTAAAAAAAAAAAGAAAATGCCTATGAAAATCACTTCTGTAATTGAGAAGTCACTATTGAACCAGTGTGTTCACTGTAGGGGCTTTAAGAGTTTTAGCAACTTTTGAATTTTGGCTCTGCCATTTACCACCTTTGTGCTTTGGAGGATATTCTAACTTTTCTTAACATGTATCTTTATCTACAAAGTAGGAGTAATATAATAAAATGAATTAAAAGCTTTACACAGTGCTTCCAAGTTGTTTATTTTGATGATGATATCTTGTTCTTTTTATGGTTTAGGTATTGAGTGAGTTCCCTTTTGATTTACAGATTAGGTTAGTCTGAGCTTAACTATAGTTTTGTCAACTGCTCAGGATGCCCTTGTGCCAAAGTTATACTCATAAATAGAGGTAAAAATAAACCCATCTTGACTATCTAAACAGATTTGAAGTTTAGAGGAAGATCAGATCACCCATTGAAGAATGAAGCTTATTTACCATTGAAATTAAAAAGTATGAAATGAATGTATATAGTCTAAAAATGCACTAGAACATTGAGCAGGTCTGGAAACCTGTTTTTTCTGGTCTAGCTCTCTTTCTAGCCAAGTTTGTGATTTGGATAAGCTTATGAAGTAAAGACTCATCTTTGTCTCCATTGTCCCTGAGGAAGTGAGCTCTTTCATTTCTGATACACTATGATTTTTAAGAAATCTGTTCCTTTTGTTTATTTATTATTGTAATGAAAAGGGACTTTGTACAGTGTGAAATCTTACATGCAATGTTTATGATTCTCTTTGGAGAGAAAGAGATATCCTTGATTTTCAGAGAGGTTCTCTAATACCTCCCACCAGAAGAAGAGGAGGGACATAAAAATCTGCCCTGAGCGGAGGCATGGTGGCGCACACCTGTAATCCCAGCAGCTCAGGAGGCTGAAGCAGGAGATATGCATGTTCAAAGCCAGCCTCAGCAACTTATTGAGGCCCTAAGTGACTCAATAATATAAAATATAAATAAATATAAAAAAGAGCTGAGGATGTGTCTCAGTGGTTGAGCGCCCCTGGATTTGGTCTTCCGTACCGCCCCCCCCCCCCAAAAAAAAAATCATCTGTTTGATGCTACTCCAAGCAAATATAGTACAACTTTTTTGGTTTTTTGTTTACCTCAACTTTTAGCACAATGGATCGAGATAAAGTGGGAATCCCCACAGATGGTGATTCACATGCAATTACCTATCCACCTGCAATTGTTGTTTATATAATTGATCCTTTTACATATGAAAATAAAGATGAGAGCACTAATTCTTCTAATGTGTGGACTTTGGGGCTACTTCGATGCTTTCTGGAAATGGTCCAGACTCTTCCTCCTCATATCAAGAGTACTGTTTCTGTACAGGTAAGAGTAATTACTGTTTTAAATGAAATTTATACACATCAAAACCAGTTTTGATGTTTCAGAAGTTTAAAAATGCTACTTTTCTGTATTCACATCAATTTTCTAAATGCCARGTTCTATTTTAATGATTTTACTTTAATATTATAATAGAAAGAGAGTTTCTAAAAGGTAAACTTCATAGTCATACCATAGTAAAAATGAGTAGTAAAAAATTTATATTGAACACATTAAATACTCTTCCATATTACTTTATAAATCAGGTTTTTTTAATTGAACAATTTTATTCTGTTTATAATWAATACCTTGCTTTAATATTGTAAGGTGCACTGCAGGTACGCCATGCTGCCAGTTACTTTGGGAACAACAAATGTCCCATATAAGCTAATTCTTAAGTCCATAACCCTAAACAGAAAAGTTTATAACATGCACTATATAAGCTAGAGTTCTAATTAAAAGTCAAATTTTAAGTAAAAAACAGAAGATTAACCAGAGTAAGTTGTTTGAAGGAATTTTGAATTCATTTTAACTTGTTCATTGTATTGCTGGTAGTATTAATTAATATAATTGCTGTGTAGACATTTTTTAGTTTATTGATGGCTCTTTGCTAAAACTGTTGATTTATTAAAAACCTAGGTGGTAGCTAATAAAACCTAATTCTTTAGATAACCACTTAAGTTCTTCTGTTTAGATTTTCTAATAAGGAGTTTATAAGAGTTTTAGTCCTACAGTTTCTTTTATTCTTCGTTGGAAGTTTAACATGTGTAATATTTACCTGTACCTCTTAGATTGTCCCTTGTCAATACCTGTTACAACCTGTGAAGCATGAAGATAGACAAATCTATACCCAGCATTTAAAATCTCTTGCTTTTTCGGTCTTCACCCAATGTCGGAGACCACTTCCAACATCAACCAATGTAAAAACATTGACTGGCTTTGGTCCAGGTTTAGCCATGGAAACAGCTCTTAAAAGTCCTGATGTGAGTATTTTATTTTCCATGACCAAAATTATTGAAAGACTGTATGTTTTATAGTTTTATGCAAAGCTAAGTGCAAAAAATTGAAGGAGTTTTGAAAATTTTGTTTTCTAATTATTGAGTAGATAATACATGTTTTTCTAAGATTATATTGTACTATAATACCTTAATTTTTTGTTTTACAGAGACCAGAGTGTATTCGACTTTATACACCTCCTTTTATTCTGGCTCCTGTTAAGGACAAACAGACAGAATTAGGAGAAACATTTGGAGAAGCTGGACAGAAATATAATGTTCTTTTTGTGGGCTACTGTTTATCACATGATCAAAGGTGGATTCTTGCATCTTGCACAGATCTATATGGAGAACTTTTAGAAACTTGTATCATTAACATCGATGTTCCAAATAGGTACATATATTTTCCTAAATCTATGATTATATCATCCCAATTTAAAGTTTCATATGTGTACCTATAGTCACATACAATGTTTCATTTTTAATGAGTTGAATGAAAATCATTTGCAAGGTTATATACAATAAGATATTAAGACTTGGAAATTTGGGTCCTTTTCACTTTTTTGTAATGAATTTCACATTGGATAATTAAGATAGTTAAATAAATTTGATTAATCTCTTATACAAACAAAAATTATTAAAGTCCATACTTAACTTCGGCATCATAAACCTTCAGGCAGTGATTAAYTTTTCTCACATAACATTTAAGATATAGCCTCTAAAATTATTAACTGAAAATATTACCATTTAATTGTGGGATGTTTTCTGAAAATGGTGGCCTTCTTTTTAGATTTCTCCTTGGCAGTAAGTAAGTATCACGGCCAGTTATTAAATGGAATGTAATAGGTCACAAAAGGTGAGCCTTATATTGAGTTACCACTTGATAAACATATTCTAGTAATGTATTTCAAGAGAACTTACTGGGAGTAATTTTCAGTTTTAAGATTTAGATTCTAGCCTTTATTTTCTTCTTGATTAGATAAAGATTTTTTTTCTTTATGTTTGGAAATTGTATGCTGAAATATTTGATAATTATTAGATCTTTGGCGCTGGGAAATAGAATATAGAAACATAAATTTTATATATAGAGAGAGAAATATGCTCTGTACAGTGGCACATGCCTGTGATCCCAGCTGTTCTCAGATACTCAGGAAACTTGAGGCAGGAGGATCACAAGTTTAAGGCCAGCCTTGGCAACTTTGTGAGACCCTGTTTCAAAATAAAAAGTATAAAAAGGGCTGGTGATGTAGTACAGTGGTAGAATGCTCCTGGATTGAAGCCCCATTACCACCAAAAAAATTTTATAGTATTGTTTATAAATGTTTACTGACTATATTATAAATCATGGAATAGGGCCTCTTACCTTATTTCTTTGTTGCAATTGTTATTTTTTCCTTTGGATTTTAGTGCTATTTAAATGATGTTTGGGAAATGCGTATCTCTGAAGGAAGAGAGGGTAGAGAATTAATAATACCACCCTTTCCAATATTAATATGGTATTTTCAATTTACTACCTAGATTTTAAAAAGTTGAAATGGAAAATGGGTTCAAATGCCAACCCTTCTAATTACTGGTCGTGGGATCCTGGGAATCCTGGGGAAAAATTACTTTAGTCAGCTAAGTTGTAATCTGTCATATCTGGTATGTGTTTCATAGGAGTGGTAGGGTGAAGTGAGGTTATTTCATATAAATTGATTGGGCAGGATGCTTGGTATATAGAAAGTACTTAAGTACTTGGTATATAGTAAGTACCTATAGTAAGAGCTACCATTGCTCAGGCACAGTGTATGTACATTATATACTTACCTAATAAAGGACATGTATGTAGAAAACATACCTATATTGTTTGGTCTGAGAGTGTGGGTTTTTGTTTTTGTTTTTTTTTTTTGTTTGTTTGTTTTTGGTGGGGGGTATTCTTTGACTTTTCAGTAAACAGCAGAGATTGGTTTACTAAAGCTTATAGGTCAAATCTCTACATTCCCAGTTTCTTTAGTTCCTATCAGGCAGAGCTGAATTATTCTGACAGAATCTTGATGGCCTGCAAACCTTAAAGTGTTGGCCTTTTCAAAAAGAAGTTTACTGTTGTAGAGCAGTATTTCTGGTCAACTGAGGTAATCTGTGGACAAGAACAAACAACATAAACTTAGCCAGGCATGGTTGTGAATGTCTGTAGTTGGAGGCAGAGGCAGGACAATTGCTTGAGTCTAGGAGCTCAAAATCAGCCTAAGCAACATAATGAGACCCTTTCTCAATTGAAAAACCACAAACATTTATAGACTACGCTTTTTTATTTCATATATATTCTTGCTTAGGACTTGTTTAAAGTGTGAAACATTAAAATTAAGTAGGGAACCAGGTCTTGGGATGTAGCTTAGTGTTAAAGAGTGTGTAGCTAACATAAACAAGTGCTGGCACTGATCAGTCAATGAAGTAAAATTCAATTAAGGAACTAATTTTGAGGTCTCTTAAAGTGTCATGTGGATTTTAAAAATATTTATGATTCTAGGGGTCGGGGCTGGGACTCAGTGGCAGAGCACTTGCCTAACGTGTGAGGCACTGTGTTTGATCCTCAGCACCTCATACTAAAATAAAATAAAATAAAGGCATGCTGTCCATCTATAACTACAAAAAAAAGAGAGATTTTTGATTCTTTTTATTTCACTCAATAGGGCACGTCGAAAAAAAGGTTCTGCTAGGAGATTTGGTCTGCAGAAACTTTGGGAGTGGTGCTTAGGACTTGTACAAATGAGTTCATTACCATGGAGAGTTGTAATTGGTCGTCTGGGAAGGATAGGTCATGGAGAATTGAAAGGTAAAATTTTAAATTTGTTTTATGTTAATTTATATAGCATTCCGACAATATCCAAATATATGTGCTGAATAAAAAATACAAAAGTAAACTACAAACTTTTGTTTTTAAACAGGAACCACATACAGGTAGTTACTACTATTCTTTCTTGTTGACCTCCTTTCTCCATTCTGTTTTTTATTCAGCAGATGCTATCTTTTGTTCACTAAAGTTAGAGGGATAAAGGATGTTAATAGCATTGGTCATAAGAGTTTTCATTCTTGTTTGGGGAAAATACATAGAAAATTTTTATGCCATCAAGTTTTTCATTTTTAATATTGGTTCTATGCSTAGTAGAGATGCTGTTATTTTAACTGTTGTTACTGTGTTTTTGTGTTTTTTTTACTGTTGATACCCATAGATTGGTACTGTTTGCTGAGTCGTCGAAACCTGCAGTCTCTAAGTAAAAGGCTCAAAGACATGTGTAGAATGTGTGGTATATCTGCTGCAGACTCTCCCAGCATTCTCAGTGCTTGCTTAGTAGCAATGGAACCCCAAGGCTCTTTTGTTATTATGCCAGGTTAGCTATCTTTAGTTTATATCAGATTTAATTCATTATGTATTTAAATTTTTAAGTATTACATAAAATTTATTCATTTATTAAAAGGAAAAATGTCTTTCATTCTCTTGGTAGATTCTGTGTCAACTGGTTCTGTATTTGGAAGAAGCACCACTCTAAATATGCAGACATCTCAGCTAAATACCCCACAGGATACATCATGTACTCATATACTTGTGTTCCCTACTTCTGCTACTGTGCAAGTAGCTTCAGCTACTTATACCACTGAAAATTTGGACTTAGCTTTCAATCCCAACACTGGTAGGTGAATTGTTCCTGAAAAGTTTTGTTGGTTTGTTTGTTTTGTGGAGACAGGGTGTTGGGATTTCAATATGTTGCCCTGGTTGACCTTGAACTTCTGGGCTCAAGTGATCCTTCTGCCTTTGCCTCCCTGCCGGCAGGGACTACAACTATGTACCACCATGTCTTGCCTAAGGTTTTAATCATTGACAATTTTGCTAGACCGAAAATGGTCTCCAAAGATAGCCGGTTCCTGTCCTTRTACCCTGTGAATGTTATATTATTTTTTAAAAAGAAGGAAGAATTTTTAGTTGATGTGATTAAGTTAGAGGAAGAGATTRTACTAGATTATACAGGTGGGCCTAAATGCAATTACATGTATCCTTTATGAAAGAAAGACAAAGGCAGTTTTGGATTATACACAGACAAGAAAGCCATGTGATGGAGCAGAGGATGCAGTCAGAGGAAGAATATGCTGTGCCCCTCACTTTAAAAACTGAGGAAAGGGTCATGAGCTCTTTAGAGGACGTGCACCCTTGCTGGTATCTTGATTTCAGTTCAGTGAAACTAGTTAGAGACTTATGACCCCCAAATTGTGAAAGGATAAATATGTGTTGTTTTATGTCAACAACTGTATGATAATTTGTTAAATGGCACCAGGAAACTAGTAGATCATTATTCTATCTTACTGATACTGGAACTTAAAATCTTATTTTAAAAGATAATAATTGATTATAAAATTTTTGTATAGGTTTATGCTTTTGTTTTTGAGGTAGTTGTATCAATCTTTATAAATCATTTAGTCTTCTTTGCCAAAATAATATTTTATTTAAATTGCCAGAGTAGGGTTGTGATTTTTGGTGAACCTTGTTGGTTGTGATTAGCAGAACAAAAAGTAGAGATTTCATTATTACTTTTGAGTGACCTTAGAATATCAAGATTGGTGGGTATAGTGGCACATGCCTATAGTCCCAGCAACTTGGGAGTCTGAGGCAGGAGGATCACAAGGTCAGTCTCAGCAATTTAGCCAGGCCCTCAGCAATATACCAAGACCTTGTCTCAAAATAAAAAAGGCTGGGGATTAGTTCATTGATAAAGTGCCCCTGGTTTCAATCCTCAGTAACAAAAAGAATATAAGACATGATAATCAGATCATCAAAGTCACACTTGTAGGTATTAATCTGTCATTTAATTTATTGTGAAATACCTTGAATGTTTTACTGAGTGAAGACTAGGACATCTGGAGCTGGGACATATGCCTGTAATTGGAGTGGCTTAGGAGGGTTAGGCAGGAGGACTGCAAGTTCAAAGTCAGCCTCAGCAACTTAGCAAGGCCCCAAGCAACTTTGTGAGGCCCATCTCAAAACAGTCTGCGAATGTAACTCTGAGGTTGAGTGTCCCTGGGTTTAGTCCCTGATACAAAAACAAACAAACACAAAGAAAAAAAAAAAAACCTGACTAGCGCATTAATTGTGAGTAGTATAATTTTAAACACATTTCTATTTCCTGCATACTGTGTTTGCTTTGTATTCGTTTCCTACAGTTGCTATAACAAATTGCTGTATATTAGTGGTTTAAAAGAACATCTGTGAGGCAGAAGGATCACAAGTTCAAAGCCAGCCTAAGTAATTTAGTGAGGCCCTTAGCAGCCTAGTGAGACCCTGTCTCAAAAAATAAAAAGGTAGAGCACTGCGGGGCAATGTCTAGTACTGCAAAGCAAAACCAAAAATGTCCATGTATTACCTTGTAGTTCTGGAGGTATCCAAAAGTCAGGCTTACTGGGCAGAGTTGATTCTTTCTGGAGATTCTCAGTAAGAATCTGTTTCCTTGCCTTTGCCACCTGCATTCCTGTTTGTGGCCTCTTCCTCCATCTTGAATGCCAGCAGTATAGTGTTGTCAGCCTCCTTGATTGACTTTGACCCTGCCACTTCTTTCTCATGGAGGATTCTTCTGGGACTGGTGGTATAACTCCGTGGCAGAGTACTTGCCTAGCATGTGGGAGGCCATGGTTTTGATCAGAAGCACAACTGATCACTGGACCCACCTGGATAATCTTCTCTTCTTATGATCACTAATTTAATCACATCTACAAAATCCTTTATGATAACATATTCATAAATTCCAGGGATTAGGGTATGGACATCTTTTGGGAGCCATTATTCAGACTAGTATATGTTTATTTATGCATTGTTTAAATGGCTATTAGCACAATATTTGGTACATGATAGACACTTAATGGTTAAGTAAACTTATTTTGGTTAAAATTTATTTTAACCCTTAATTGTGAATAATCATGGGATATGGATAATGGAATATTTAATTTCTTTCTTCTATATAGATGGAGCAGATGGAATGGTTATCTTTGATTTGTTAGACACAGGAGATGATCTTGATCCTGATATCATTAATATCCTTCCTGCATCTCCAACTGCATCTCCCGTACATTCTCCAGGATCTCATTACCCCCATGGAAGTGATGCTGGCAAGGTAATCCTATTATAAAAATTCAGTTTATTGGGGCTGAGGCTGTAGCTCAGTGGTAAAGCACTTGTCTAGCATGGATGAGGCACTGGGTTTGATCCTCAGCACCACATAAAAAGTAAATAAATAAAGTTATAAAAAACATTTTTTTAAAAATTTAGTTTATCTAAATGTCATTCATTCATTTGGTAAGCAATGAATAAATGAAATAGAACATTGTTTACCTTGGAAGTTGGCAACAGGTGAGATTAACAGTACATTCATATACTTCTGCCTCACGGAAACCAATACTTGGATTTAAACATTCTGCAGAGGTTCTCTGAGGCTGTGCTTTCCCTGAATTCATATTTTCTAGAGTACTGAGTATTAGCCCTTTCACTGTAGTTTCAGGTGTAGGATCACAGTATCTTAGATAATCAGTATATGACTGTAAGAGCTGTAATTCACATCAGGGCTGTGACAAGGAATATAATAGAAATTAATTTTCTTATACAAACAGATAAAATATGCCCACTGTCCCTTTTATTTTTAGCACTTATGAAAACAGGCTATACTATGCTTCTCTCTGAAGTAACAATTAGGGCTTCATTGAATAACATCTTTGAGTGAAATTATATCTAGTAGTTACTTGATTATTACAGTATGCATATGTTTAGAATTTACCTTTTTTGTTGTTGTTATTGTTCCTGGGATTGAACCCAGGAACACTCTACCACCAAACTGCATTTCTAGCTCTTYTATTTTTTGAGACAGGGTCTTCTCACTAAAAGTTGCCAGTGCTATCATCAAACTTGTGATTTTTCCTTCCTCAGCCTCCCAAGAACCTGGTATTAACAGGCATGTGCCATTATGCCCAGCTTAGAATTTACTTTTTTTCATTTAAGAAAGGATCTTTGTCGAATTTTATGTTGTCATCTCTTCCTTTTTAAACATGTAAAAAAGCAAGATTGAAGTATGGGTGTATTTATTTTCAAATTTCAAGAAGTTTAATCACTTTTTTAAATTTTTTTCTGTACTGGGGATTGAACCCAGGGATACTAGCTATACTACTGAGCCATATACCCGTCCCCTTTTTAAATTTCAGGGAGGATCTTGCTAAGTTGSCAGGACTGGCTTTGCACTTTGGATCCTCCTGTCTAAGCCTCTTGAGTAGCTAGGATTACAGGTTATGTGCCTCCATGCCCAGCTTTAGCTTTCTAATATGGACACCATAATTTGTTGTATCATTCCTAAAACATTGGGCATTTAAGCTTTTGTTGTTGTTGCTGTTGTTATAGTTACTGATATAATGAATGTTTCTGTGCATATTAGTTTTCTTTTTTCTATTTATTTAACCTACATACCAAGAAGCCAGGCACAGTGGCACAAATCTACCTGTAACCCCAGCAACTTGGAAAGCTGAGGCAGGAGGATCTCAAGTCAGCCTTATTAATTTAGTGGGGTCCTAAGCAACTTAGTGAGACCCTGTCTCTAAATAAAATATAAAAAGGGCTGGGGTTGTGGCTCAGTGGTAGAGCGCTTGCCTAGCATGTGTGAGGCCCTGAGTTTGATACTCAGCACCACATAAAGATAAATAAATAAAGGTATTGTGTCCATTTGCAACTAAAAAATATTTTTAAAAATTAAAAAGGGGGGGCTGGGGATGTGGCTCAAGAGGTAGCGCGCTCGCCTGGCATGCGTGCGGCCCGGGTTCGATCCTCAGCACCACATACAAACAAGGATGTTGTGTCCACCAAGAATTAAAAAAAAAAAATTAAAAAGGGGGGCTGGGGATGTTGCTCAGTGGTAAAGCACCCCTGGGTTAAATCTCCAGGTATTGTGTCCACCTACAACTGAAAAAAAAAAAAACTTTTTTTTTTTTTTTAATGGAGCATTGAGGATGAGGCTCAGTGGTTAAGTACTCCTGGGTTCAATCCCTGGTGATCCCACCACCACCAAAAAAACCACAAAAAACAAAAAACCAAGAAGTAAATTGACTAATCCAGAGTTTGTTAATACCACTTGAGAGTTGTCTCTATTTTGCCATAATGCTTTCTAAAACATTATAWCTGCATTTTAGAGATTGTGGTAGATGAACAAAAGTGTATTGAATCTACCCTTTGGATTGGGGTATGAGTGTCAGGAATTAGTTGAGAGACTGTTAGGAAATGAGTTAGAAATTTGATTGACCATTTTGTGGTTTTTAATCAGCTGTGAATGTTTATATACATACAATTCACCCTGGGTTTGGCAAAATAGACTTGTTGAACAGTTGGCATATTCATTTCCTCATGCAAGTTTTAGAGTTCATTCTTTTAATATTATTACCTTATGATATTTTTACTAAGTATGTAACCATTGAGTTTTTCTTTTTTAACCCATTGAATTTTTCAATATCCTTTAGTATTTTTAAAATTGAGATAATAATGCAATAAGACTGATTTGTCATAATCCATTTTGTATTTATATCTAGTACTTAGGTATACTGAAGGAAATAATATACTTTTAATTTTGTCTTTTTAAGGGTCAGGGTACTGATCGGCTACTTTCAACAGAATCTCATGATGAAGTAACTAATATTCTTCTTCAGCAACCATTGGCCCTTGGATACTTCGTATCAACTGCCAAAGCGGGTCCATTACCTGACTGGTTCTGGTCAGCATGTCCTCAAGCACAATATCAGTGTCCCCTTTTTCTTAAGGTATTACCATTTCTGTGCCAATTTATAAAGAATCATATTTGACAGCTTGACTTATGAGAAATACAGAAGTGGCTTTTTGAAATTTTATAGCTTGTTTAAGTGTTTAATTAAATTGCCACAAATGACTCTAAATATCACACACAGAATTATCTACTTAGGAAACAGCTCTAATTTTTAAAATTTATATAGTAGTGGTATTTTCAACTGTACACACTGGAGCTTAGAAAAACTTATTTCTTTCTAATCTTCTCATTTTCTAGATGAGCATATTTTAGTTTCAACTTTTGTACCATGTTCATATATACAACAGTTGAAGATCTGAACTTTTTTTTTTTTTTTTTTTGTGGTTGCTGGATTGAACCCAGCGCCTCACACATGGTAGATAATCATTCTACCATTAAGCTATATCCCCAGCCCTTGATAATATTTAATGAGAGAATATATTTAAGAGTGTCAGCCAAAGTAGTAGTTTTATCCTATGATTTCTTCCTCTTCTAGTAGATGTGCAAATCTCATTACAATGTTTAAGTTCAGAAAAACTCACCTATTCAAAGTCATTAATTGGCAGTAGACTCAAGATTGAAACCTGGATCTTTTAATTATTATTAAGTTATTTTTTGAATTACATCATATCTTATTTTCATTATTCTTCATTATTTTGAGGATTAAAAGATTCAGTCTTGCCAGGTGGGGTGGTACATACCTGTGGTCCCAGCTACTCCTGAGACTGAGGCAGGAGAATTCCAAGTTTCTATTTCATATTTCACTAGTCATGCTAATTTAAGTATTTGTTGAGTACTTGTTGCTTGTAGGGCAAAAATTAGATAGTATGCTTTAGTTTATATTATATTTTTAGTGGTTATCAAACCTATAGCCCTCTTGCTCTCTCCCTACCTCTCCTCCCTGTCTGTCCCTTCCATTCCTTTTCTTGCTTTGTCAGGGCCTTGCTTTGTTGCCCATGCTGACCTCAAACCTTGGCTCAAGCGATTCTCTTGCTTCAGCCTTTCAAGTAGCTGGGACTACAGGCCTGTTCCACTTGAGTCCTTCTTGCACAACAGTTGAAGATCTGAACTTGTTTTTTGTTTTTGGTTTTTTGTTTTTGTAGTGAGGTGGGATTGAACCCAGGGCCTCGTGCATGRTAGATAATCACTCTACCATTGAGCTATATCCCCAGCCCTTGATAATATTTAATGAGAGAATATATTTAAGAGTGTCAGCCAAGATAGTAGCTTTATCCTATGATTTCTTCCTCTTCCAGTAGATGTGCAAATCTCATTACAAGAACACCTTTCCAAGAGATTTTCTGCTGAATAGTCCTTGGAGTCTCCACAAAACAAAGGGTTCTTTAGATGTTTGGGAAGTGGTGTACATGCTTTCTGCCCCCTTTTGTAGACACAGTGCATGTATACACACTACAGATTCTGAAAATAGTAACATTGTTTACCTAGCAATTCCCAAATCTATTTTAATACACAAGAATAGGATTGTTTAACACCTATTTGTAATTCATGACCTTAGTGTTTCAGGGCACATTTTTTTTTTAGGAAACACTACTTTACAAAAAGTCCAAGGGACTATCCAGATTCTTTTCTACTCAATATTTATTTGCAGAGAGGATAGTGTAAAGTGAGCATTCACCCTCAGATACAGTGTAACAAGATTAGGACTTCTGATTCTGAATTACCAGGTAAGGCATAACTTACCATAATTTTGTTCACCTTGTTTTTCATACATCCCATTTTAGTTGTATACTATAGGCAATAAAACCACCTGATGTGTTTCTCTATGCTTGGAGAAATAGTGGATTGTTACCTAGATGGTTAAAAATAATTTTATCATAGGGATTAAGAGCACTGGTACTAATTAATATTCATTTAATTTGTAGTGATCTGCCATGTGGAACTTGTTTTTAACTCAAAAATCAAAATAGTTCGGATATAAACATTTTAAATTATATTCCTGAATATACCTRACAAGGGTATACAACTGGAAAGGAGAGAGCTTGTAATTTTGAGTACTTTTTTTTTAATATTTATTTTTCAGTTATAGGTGGACACAGTGTCTTTATTTTACTTTATGTGGTGCCTCATGCATGCTAGGCGAGTACTCTACCTCTGAGYCACAATGCTAACCCATGAGTACTTTTTATAGTATATAGAATAAGATCTGCAGAGAGTTTTTGTGGTGAATACCATCACCATCTTGTCACACTTTTTAACACTATTATACATATTTAATTACAAATTATTACTTGCATTTAGTTGAAATGCGAAGAAGTAGCGATTCCTTCCGCTCACCGTTCACGGCCATACTTAAATGGATATGCCAGTTCTTAATAAGCCTCTGTTATGAAATGTATTTATTATGTTTATTGCATCCTTAAAACATTTACTTTATGCATCTAGGCAAATTAGACTTAGAAAATAGTTGGAAATCCTTTTTAAGGATTAGCACGAGGTTTTATAAACAGTAAAACTAAAATAAGTAGGAAGATTCAGTATATTTTGCACTTAAAAATTACTTCAATAATGAATGAATTCAGCAAGGAGAGCAAGCATTTTTGCAGTGGTTCCATTCATAACATAGTAGTAAAATATATTTTCATTAAGAAAGATACATTGGGAGAATAAGGTAAAACTAGAGGACCAGTCTTTTCCCATGTGGCTTATTGATTCCCTGTTCAYATTTTTAGGCCTCTTTGCACCTCCACGTGCCTTCAGTGCAATCTGACGAGCTGCTTCACAGTAAACACTCCCACCCACTTGACTCAAATCAGACTTCAGATGTCCTCAGGTACTGCTCTTTTACCATTATTTGTTCTCCATTGCAACTTTAAAAGAACATAATGTAAGCCAGGCATGGTGGCACAGGCCTATAATCTCAGGGACTTGGGGAGGCTGAGGCATGAGGATCCCAGGTTTGAAATAAGCCTCAGCAGCTTAGCTCTGAAGAAAAAATAAAAAAGGATTGGGAATGTAGCTCAGTGGTAAAGTGCCCCTGGGTTAAATCCCCAGTACCAAACAATAACAGCAAAGAATATAATGTTGATTCTTGATTCTTAATGCATTTTCCTCAGTTTTGGCAAGATTTCATAGGTGTTTACCCTTAGATGTTTTTGAGATTTTTTTTTTTTTTAATGGTGCTGGGTATTGGATCTATGATCTTACACATGCTGAGCAAGTGCTGTACCATTGAGCTACAAACATCCCTCGCCTAAGAACAGTTTTTCATGAAATTAATTATCTTTCTCCCCAAGGACTTTTGAGGTGCTTTGAATCTTAGATATTATAATTGAAAACTACTTCTGAAATTTATACTGGAAATAGATAAATGACTTACATTGTTTATTTGCTTTTCAGGTTTGTTTTGGAACAGTACAATGCACTCTCCTGGCTAACCTGTGACCCTGCAATCCAGGACAGACGCTCATGTCTCCCAATTCATTTTGTGGTGCTGAATCAGTTATACAACTTTATCATGAATATGCTGTGATCTTCATTTGTTGGAACTTTGCAAGAAAAGAACAAGGAAAAAAGGATATTTTGCTGCAGGATTAAGTTATAATGTTCTCAGTGAAAGTCATTTGTGATAGGGTCTAATTCTTATTACTTCAACAAATATTGTTTTGACTTGGGGGGAGGGGCTATAACCCTGCTATTTTTCATTGACTCTACTGAACTCTTTAGGGATGATGACTGATCATACAAAACGTATTATAACATTTTCGTAGCAAAAATTAACGTTTTTTTTTTTCCGGTCACAGTATTTGTGAAAAGTAATGAGCCATAGTACCCAGTCATGTTAAATGAATATTAAAAGCATGGAGAGGAAACATGAGGAACAATGATTTTCAACATATGGCTTTAGAACATCAAGATGTTCTTGTATTGGATTATAGTATCTAGTATTCAAAAATGCCTGCATCTCTTATTTATTGTAAGTTTTTAAATGTATAAATTGTCTTATATTTCTTAACCTCTTTTATAAAAATTTTCCTAGAAGGTTTATACTGCCTTCTTGCTTTAAAGCAATTGGTCTAAAATATATGTAATCGTCTTAATTAAAAAGTTGCAGTAGGGTTGCTTTTAGAGTATTATTTTTTTGTAACGGGGTGGGTGGGACAGTAAATTTGTATTGTCTCAATGTACAGTTTAATGGGGATAGAGGGGGAATAATGTCCATACCATTGTGTGTGGAGGATTTACAGCTAAGCTGTAGTTGCAGAGTACATGTACAGTAATGAAGTTCACTGTGTTTATAAATTGAAAAGGTACCGGGTCTTACAGCATTTTATATATCACATCTTTACAGAATAACATGATGGCAATATACAAGTGATATTGTTAGGTGGTTTAACTTAGAATAAAATGAGAATTCTTCAGTTATATTTTGTACTATGGTTTAGGGCTATGACTAATATTTCAGGCCATTTCCAGTGAAAGAAACTTAGTTTTACAAGAAAAACATTTGCTACTGAATGCTTAAACTAATTTTGGTGTTTAATGTTACTATGCTTAAATTTTTTTCAGTTTTAACAGTGGCAATTTAGGCATGGGAATATTATTAATTATGAAATTTATCTGCAGGATCTGCTATAAGGTTGAAATTTAGCCCAGCTCTAGGCATTTTACAAATTATTTTAAGAGCAGTCACTCTTGATTGTTTGAGGTTTTTTTTTTTTTTTAAATTAATGATTGGGAATGTGTGTGAGAGTATGCATATGTATGGGTGTGTGTGTGCAATCAAACTGTGGTGTAAATAGATTCTCAGTGAATTCTGGTATTCAGACTCTATTCCACTAGTGAAAAAACCATTTTCTAAACTTAACCTGTTTCCCTTTGCCTTTTTATTTATTTAATTTTCTTGGTTTGGAGATGGCAGTCCCAAACACCAGAGTCTGTACTTTTCTATAACACAGCTCAAATTAAGGTAGGGCATATGCCAAGGAGGTTCTCACCTCCCTAAAGAAGGGACTTGAATTTTAGGGACTTTAATTCACCCCTTCCTTCAACACAACTTTCCCCCTTCTTGTTTGCACATGCCAATATAACTGCTTTTATGCAGGCTTTTACCCCCTTGAAAAATCCTTTCTACAGTGCTGCTCACAAGAGAGCCCAAGTTAGCTTTCTACCTGCATTGCTGACTTGAATTCACAGTCACCAAGTCTACCTAATCTTTCTTGGAAGCAGTCTAGCAAAATTCTTATTTGTATGTTCACTAATTATCTACAAGGATGAAATCAGTTGTATTTACAAAACTCTAATTCAGTGTTTTTTTTTTTAACTGAAACTTGTTTTGTAAGTACTATATGCCTAGCATAATATCACTTTCTTATGAACAGTATAACTTCTTCAAATTGTGTACATGAAAACATTAGCAAGTCTTTTTTCTATTAAAAACAAATTTGGTGACAAAAGTTTTCAATCATTAAGATTATAATGAAATCCCAGTGGTCAGCATATTTTGATATTAAATTTAAAGATCACATCTCTGCATATGTTTTTCAATTATGCTAACGCACCACAGATTATGTTGGCATGTTTTGTTCTGTACTTTCTTAAAAAAAAAAAAAACAAACTTGTCTGAGATTTGAGGGAAAAGATGCTTATTTGGAATTTCTATAAAAAGAGTATTTTTTTTATATACTTAGCTAATAGTGACTTTAAAAAATAAAAGTTATATTCTCAGTTGTTTGAAAAATTGCTAACCTACAGTAACCAAACCTCAGTTTGAAAATAGATTTTTTAAAAAATTATTCCCTGACAGTTTCTTTTATATGGAGCCATAAGGAGGGAACCCAGTATACAATTCCTTTTTATGTAGGAATCAGGGAATAGTTCCCAAATATACAGGATTTACTGATAAAACTTTTCTTCCCTTCATATATCGGTTCACACTCAAATAGAAAGTTATTAAATAGCCATTAGAAAAGGTCAGTTGACTTATCTCAGAAAAAAAGAAATTAAGCATTTTGTGCAGGATGATGGATCTGACTTATTAATGTACTGTCACAGACAAGTATGGGTAGTTTTGTTTTACTTAAATAAGCAAGCAAAATATTATACTTTGTACCAGTGAGTTACGAACACCTTGACTTCTTTGTTACAGTGCTAATGTCTGTTCTTTGTGCAGTTATCCATTATGAAGCAGGGTGGAAGTTCAGTATTTTGGCATTTAAAAGATTAGTTATATAATGTTTGCTTCCAGCCAGTGAGAAACATCTAGCCATACCTTTCTTATGCAAGCCATTCAGTTATCAGGACTGTGAATTAACACTGTATGAATAAATTTCTGTACACCTTATTGTTTGGCCAGAAGGCCACCAAGTGTACTTATATGTAATCCTTAAATTTTAAAGTAGCTGTAATTTTTAAATATTTCTAAACTTTTCTTAAACCACTAAAATTAAGCTCTTACTACTTAGTCAACTATCCTCAGCTGTATTCGTACTCAATTGTCAGTATGGCACAGATTACTGTATTAAAATATTCTCTTTTCGTCTTCATATTTACCTTCTGAGGTAATTTTTTAACTTAATGTGTTACTACAAAGATTTGCAGATCTTTAATCAAGCACTATGTTAATACTGTAATATCAAAATACTATGTTGCATTATTTAAAATGTTCAAATTGAATAGATTAAAAGGAAGTTTTTAAATGCTATTGCATCATATAATTTGCTACTCATCCACTATGGCATTGCATATTAGTCTATTAATACACTTAATGTTGCATGAGTGATATTTTGGTCTGGGTTTCCTCTTAATATTTTAGTTTGTCTAAATTAAGGAAAAAATGTTTTTAACATATATATTTTTGTCCCATCCCTCAAAAATCAGCTGGAAATCTTAAAACTTTTGTTTTTTCTTGGTGTTTTAATGGGCCCAGAACTGTGGTTTAAATTTTTTATATATGTTATTTTATTTTTTGTGGAGTATAAATTTAAAAACTGGATTTGGGACCTAAAATACTCCTCAGGTTGATATATTCATGAAGTTTTAAAATAGCTTTAGTTTTCAAAGTAAACTGGATATGTGGACCTTAAAAGTTACTGAGTTTAAACTACAAATTGTAACRTCATTACTGGACATGTCAGCATCAACCCTCTCAAAATGGCTTGGTCACTTTATGAAGGGGCGTTTTAAAGTTGTTGTTTAGCAGTGACATTTAATATGGTCCAATTGCTTTTCTTTTTAACGTGACAAAAAAGAATAAGGAACAAACACTATTGCTGCCGAATGCCATAACACTGAGTTGTACAAATTGTGATTGAGGAAATGAAAAGGTTTATACTTTTAAAAAAAAAACAAAAAAACAAAAAAACTTCAAATGGAATAAATTATTCATGAAGCCTTCATTGTGGTGTCTCATTCTGTTGAAAATATTTCCATCTTAAAACATTTTTGTCTCGAGTAAGAACATATCCCAAAAGTATTGTGGTCATTTTGAAATAGTTCCTCCCAGGTTTGCCCACAGACTGGCTGTGAATTCAGGCAAAACGCCAAATCTTTATAATTTCAATTTGCTCATTGGTAATTGAACACAATAATGCCCAGCCTTTCTTTTGGGGGGTGGTGCTGGCAATTGAATCCAGGGTAATGTGCATGCAAGGCAAGCACTTTACCAACTGAGCTATATCCCCAATGTTTCTAATCAGCTTTGTGAACCTYAAAGGAAGATGCAAAACAAATTTTGACAATTATAAAGATATGGAGGATGATTGTTTAATACCCAGTGTTCTTTAGAAAAGTCAAATCCAGAATGAAGACTTAGAAAGCTGCTTAAAGGTGGTAAAAAGGACTTTTAAATATGTTTTTAGCAAGAAAAAGGATGGAGAACACACAAAGCATAAACTAGTCCAAATTTATCCCCCCACACACTTTTTTTTTTTTTTTTTTTTTTTAGTACTGGGGATTGAACCTAGGGGCACTTTAACCATAGAGCCACTTCCACAGCCCTTTTTATTATTTTGAGACAGTCTTCTCTGAGACTAACATTGAAACTTGSAATCCTCCTGCCTCCACGACTTCCCAAGTCACTGGAATTACAGGCATTCACCACCATACCCACCCAACTACTTTACCTCCTTCCTGTCTCAACCCATTCCAATTTTAAAAATTAAAAGATATATATGTATATAATGTATATATGTAAAGGGCTGGAGATAAGCTCAGTGGTGTAGCACCCCCTGATTTCAATTAGTAATAAAAGAAAATTCATGGTCTGGGGATATAGCTCAGTGGTAGAGCACTTTCCTATCATGTATAAGACTTTGTGTTTGATCCCTAGCATCACCCCTCYCCTCCCCCCMAAAAAAGAAAACACTTGAAATTATCAAGCTCTAAAATTTAAGAACTATGTTTTTAATGGAATTCCAACCTAAAGTAACTGATTTCAAGGAGCTTTTTGCTCAAATCTCCATATCCTCACGAATTATATCCTGGGTTGTGAAAGAACTTGCAAATGATTTCAGAAATGCTGTGGAAAAATTAAAGATACTGAAAAAAAAATTAAAAGATACTGAAAAAGAAAAGGAGGGGGCAACTTTTTTAAAAGATAGGTCCCAGAAACTACTAGCAAATTTATTTGACTTAACCAACATTAAAAGCTGGTATAGTTTCACTAAAATAACAATAAAATAATTGATTACGTATTATAAATCTCTGATCGTAAGTCCTCGGTTTACTGGGAAACATAGTTGTGTAAACATAATTAAACTCCTTAAAGTGGTATGACATAATGTAGTACATATACAAAAGGGAATAACTGACATCAATCTCATTCCTTTGACAACGTTGATAAATTGATATATTATGGCAATGGACATTTAATAGCTTATTTAGTGAGGTTTAATATGTTTGAATCTGAAATTCAACAAACCAGTATTAAGTGCTGTACTCTACCATGGGCATAGAAAACATGGTTCCTGCCCTCAAAGTACTCACTTTCTGGTTAAGTCTTTTTATTTAAGTGCAATGTCTAAAGTACTGTGACTGAAGGAAGCAAAGGGTCTTCTGGAAACATAGTGGAGGGATACCTAATCTAGTGAAAGGTAGGTGATTTGTCAGGAAAAGGTTTCTTTAGCATGGGAACACTGGAGGAACCTTAAAAAAGGTAAAAAGGGGAACAGTTGGTAGAGTGCTTTACAAAGGTAAACAGTTGGTAGAGTGCTTGCCTTGCATGCACAAGGCCCTGGGTTAAATCCCCAGCATTACCCCCCCCCAAAAAAAAAAGATTAAAGGAATTTACTGCACAAAAAGATAATGAAAGACCTGCATGGAAAAAGGTACAGGAATAGGGAGAAGGAACAGAAATGTGCAGTTCAAACTCATGAAAGACACCAGGCAGAAGCCCAAGTTGGAGACACATAAGGAAGGAGTCCAAGCTGGAGAGARGTCAGACCATAAAAATCTCTTGTCTTCTGAGCTCATCAACAAGGAAGTTGAACGTTATTCCACAGTAGAAAAGTATTTTAGTAGCTGAGTTGATTTCTTAACTGGTTAAACAATCAGACCAAAGAGACTGGGTTGGTGGAACTGTCAACCCCCAGGGATGTCTCATAACTACAAGTGAAGATATGATCTGCTTAACCAAAGCTAAAGCAGAAAGCTTGTGTAAAAGTCAAAGATCTTGACAGGCTAAAACAAGGGAGATGTAAGATCAAATAGTTATAAACTATTTGAGAATAACTAAAAAACGAGGCTGAGAAACATGTCTTCTAAGGTCCATGTGTGTACTTGTAGATTTTATTTCCAAAGAGCATTGATTTTTTGAAGCTTATTTATGCAAAAACAAAAGCACATAGTATACCTGAAACAGTACTTTAATGTGCTTTGCTTTTTTTTTTTYCCCCTGTTTCCTTATTCCTCCAGTCTAAGAAATAAAGTAGAGAAGAGTAAATCCAAGAAAGCCAGTCAAAAGAAGAATGTTTATCCAGGAAAGTCTCTTCTTTGACTTAAACAAAATATAGGAACTATATAATGTGTTTCATCAAACCTGACACCAAAACTTGTATATTGTTTATGCTGCCATTTTAAGACATTAAAATTTCAGAGATATTAAAATGTGAGAAAAAACAGATTTGGTAAAAATATATTTTCTTGGCTGGGCGCAGTAGCGCATGCCTGTAATCCCAGCAGCTCCAGAGACAGAGGCAGGAAGATCCAGAGTTCAAAGCCAGCCTTAGCTATTTAGTGAGGCACTAAGCAACTCGGTGAGACCC